GAGCAACTTTGACTGAAATAACCACTCGTTACAACCGAGGTATGCAGCAAAGCATTTGTGAAGCCACAACACGCACAACCTTGAGGCTGATGGGCTACAACAGCAGAAGACCCCACCGGGTACCACTCATCTCCACTACAAATAGGAAAAAGAGGCTACAATTTCCAAGAGCTCGCCAAAATTGGACAGTTGAAGACTGGAAAAATGTTGCCTGGTCTGATGAGTCTCGATTTCTGTTGAGACATTCAGATGGTAGAGTCAGAATTTGGCGTAAACAGAATGAGAACATGGATCCATCATGCCTTGTTACCACTGTGCAGGCTGGTGGTGGTGGTGTAATGGTGTGGGGGATGTTTTCTTGGCACACTTTAGGCCCCTTAGTGCCAATTGGGCATCGTTTAAATGCCACGGCCTACCTGAGCATTGTTTCTGACCATGTCCATCCCTTTATGGCCACCATGTACCCATCCTCTGATGGCTACTTCCAGCAGGATAATGCACCATGTCACAAAGCTCGAATCATTTCAAATTGGTTTCTTGAACATGACAATGAGTTCACTGTGCTAAAATGGCCCCCACAGTCACCAGATCTCAACCCAATAGAGCATCTTTGGGATGTGGTGGAACGGGAGCTTCGTGCCCTGGATGTGCATCCCACAAATCTCCATCAACTGCAAGATGCTATCCTATCAATATGGGCCAACATTTCTAAAGAATGCTTTCAGCACCTTGTTGAATCAATGCCACGTAGAATTAAGGCAGTTCTGAAGGCGAAAGGGGGTCAAACACAGTATTAGTATGGTGTTCCTAATAATCCTTTAGGTGAGTGTATATCATTATTATATCGTATCAGCCATATCAGCAGCTACCTTTGAATTTTTTATTATTATTATGTATCTGTAGACCAACGAGGTGATGATTTTGCCAAAAATTTGGATCTGAACATAGTGTTATTATGGCCCCTCTTCCTATAATGTTAGAAATAGAATATTACTTTGTTATTTTTCAAGGAACGTTTGAAGTTTTGTCATTCAGCCAAAATAAATCGTTTGAAATTCGCCCAGTCAACTGGGAAGCAAATTGTTTAGCAGCATTCTCATAACATGTCACTTGACCTTTAGATGTTGCCAGGCCTCAATTTCTGTGTCAGATACTTGCCTGTTCAGTTTTTATATTCATTTTTCTGTGAAAAAAGGGGCTTTACTCACCTGTTTTATCATGCTAATTATTTAGCACGATAATCACTGGTTAATTATTTAATTCGTTTGACCATTTAAAATGCCATTTTTAAAGCTTAGTTGGATTAAATCTAGTGTTAATTCATGCTTCTCCTGCAAATGGCAGCTTAATGAACATTTAACATTTGTCTCATCAAGGGACATTCATATTGACAGCAATATGCAGTGTCAAAGGGGCCAAAAGTCAGTTCATTTCAGTGAGAGCTTACAATATTGGTGACACAATTAACAGCGTGGGGGTGTTAAAGTCTAACTTATTGTAAATGAGAGGTAATACTACGTTGCAAAAAACAATAAGAGTGGAGCACACGTGATCTGCCTCGCATTAGATACTGTTTTCTAGGCAAGAAGGAAAAGTTAATGGTATCTGGGAGCAATTTTCTTGTTCTATATAATTCGATTCTGTGTGATGCATGAAAAAAAAAGATTTTCATGATATCATGCAGAAAATTTCCACACATCAAACTCAAAATAGACTCACTTTGAATGCATTTTACTGCAATTTCTGTGCACTTTCACCTTCAGAATCAGTGGCACCTCCACAGTTCTGAGAGACTAGAGTATGCAACTGTATTGCTGCACCTCGATTGATAAGGAAATCCCAATCATCAGGCACATCCTAAACTAGGTGGCGCAACAATGTGGGTTAGTAATAAGCTTATAAAATGAGTTTTTGGTTAGAATCAAAATGTCCCTCTGAAATCTTGCTATGTGCCTTCAAACCTTCAAACCAAATGGTCTTAAACCCCCCAAGAAAGCAACATTTTTAAAAGTTTTTTGGCTTTTGGTATGAATATGTTAGCATTACTGTTATCCATAAGCTAGTGTGCTGCTATACAATGATAAATTTCACATTTAGAAGAAATAAGCATTCAGAACTTACAGTCAGGGGCGTCACTAGGATTTTCATTTTAGGGGGGCTAAGCCCCCAATATGATTTTTTTTTTTTTTAAATAAAAAAATGTAACACTTTAGTTTATCTAAAGATCACTATTAACCATTTTCATTACGATGCAAAGGCACGGTTTTATAATAACTGTGGTCCCTAATGTGAGGTAGGGCAAATAAGGGGGTTCGGGGTCTCCCTGAGAACATTTTGATTTCCCTGAGCTACATATGTGCATTTTAAGATGTTCTGAAGGCCAAAAAAACTTGGATAGTGGGCAGCTGATTATTTTTCTCTCCTCATCAGCATCACACTCTTTTTCTCTTTGTTTTTATCTTGCCCTGTCTCTTCCCCTCCTAAAGCTGAGCTTTGACTGATATAGGCTTTTCATTTTTGTCTGTCAGTGAAGAAAGTAAACATGGGGTCAATTGATAGGGTGATTTTGCCTATGAATCATTTTCTCAGACGCGTTTATTTACTGAAAGCTACTAAAGGTAATTAAGTTTATTAAATGCATTCACAATATGTAGGCTACACATTTATTATTGATCTTATGCCTAATACAGGGCCGTAGACAGGGCTTTAGTCACAGAGGTCCTAAATTTGAGGTTGGTAGGGGGTTCAAATTTTTTATTTCTCTGATATGTGCATTTCAAGACAATTGAAGACCAAAAAAGGATAAGAAATAGCTTTAAAACCATGTCAGTGGGCGGATTATTTGTCAATACCTGCTCTCTTCTCATCTCCATCACTCTTTCTTTTTTTCTCAGTCTCTTCGTCCCTTTCTCTTCCCCTCCTAAAGCTGAGCTTTTTTAATTTACTAAAGGCTACAATTTGTATTATATCCTCAATATGTACACATTCATTATTAATCTTGTGCCTAACATGATGAAAACGGCTTTGTTAATGTTTCTTGTAAACTAATTATTACATTACATGAGTCACGTTACATAGGCCTATTTTCAGTTCAAAATGGCGAAATTAGACAAAACTATATTAGTTTGCCTGATTATTTTTTGTCATTCGTTTAACATTTATGACCTAAAAAAAGTAAAATATGAAATGTTAAGTTTAGCTACTTACATCTTATCTCGCACTTGACCGTACGCGTCGAGTCGCACTGTTAAAATTCGCGCTCAGCAGCGTCTGTGAACATAAAGCCTGCCTACTTTGATTTGATTGGTCATCTCAAATATTCTGACATTGACGAGCAGTGACAGACCAATGAGGCTCAGATGAACACACATGAACACACACACACAGCCTGTCCTCTGTTTCTGACGTGCTCTCTGTCGGCGCCGCTGCGGATTGAAGATGAAGAACGCGCTGAATCTGATTATAACAAGACTGAAGCGAACACGAATTTGTGTAGCCTACATTAATCTCACATTTTTAGGGGGGCTAGGCAGAAGTTTAGGGGGGCTGAAGCCCCCCTAAAAAGGGCCTAGTGACGCCCCTGCTTACAGTCCTCACTTCCGTCAAAATGGATCTACGGTTTTGATGACAACACTCTGCACTTCAGCTTCTCATCAGTGTTTCTGTCCAATCAAATGCACTCTAGAATCTGAAGCCCCGCCCCCTACATTATAAATAAACGCTGAAGCTGCGACTGAAATCAGTTACTTGTTCACACATTTACTGTTTTCTACATGGTGAATGGCACAGTGGACTATATAGGGGATAGGGAACGATTCATACAGTGTAAATATGCTTTCGATTGGGGCGAATGAAGTCTAGTTTTACGTTAGTGTCACATAAACCGCCGCAGCGGACACACAGTATGCTCCGGTCCAGAGACACAATAGCACAGATTGAATCATATGTGCGAGTAGGCGCAGACCAGTGTAACAACTGAGACCAATCTTATTACTTGTTATTAATCTTACCTAATTTGTTACACCAGAAAACGTATCGGACCCATTTCAATTCTACACAGAACGCTATATTTTAAAGCGATATGGCTATTAGAGACAGTACTGATGAGTTCAAGAGGTAACGCCGGTGTCATGCACCAACATTAATTACACACTTTTCAAACTGCACATTGTCAGCATGATTATGTTTCTCTGTTTTGTTTTAGTAATAGTTTTAGATTCAATCTAAAGGGGGATTAATTTATTAGCCTGTGGATGTCAAGCTGTCAAATGCAGCTTTACCAAGCTCAACGGCTCCGGCACAGCTGTGATATGAACAGAACGCTATTGGCTATTTAAAAAAAGGGGGAGGAGCTGAGCGATGTCCCGCCCTGTCTTTGTGTTTAAGTGTAAATGATGTCAACACATTGAAAAACGCTGCACGTTTCAAGGCCCATTCCTTTGTTCTGCAAATTTTCACAGTCATTTCAATAGGATTCCACGTGATTTTGCAGCTGTTCCAAGCTGGTCATGTGAATGCGTTGACCAACAGAAAGCTAATTGGTTTGAAAGTGACTTCTGTGTGAGCTGTGCTTCATGTATCGCAACACGATTTACAGTAGACAGTGAAACTTTTTTGCCTGCACAATTTTGCTAATGTGACCATACCTACAGTATATGCATTTTCCATTCCTTTTTTTTTGCTGTTTTTTTCTATATCCATCCAAACAATGTCCAAGCATAACAAAACTTGGTATAGACATCAGGATATTCTTAGGGTGCATGTCAAATTTAGTCAAATTCTGTTCGTAGAGGCTGCTAATATCCAGTAAAAGTATCATAAATTTCCAACTTTGTCAAATTTGTCATGGATTTTCTTGTTCCCCCCAAATGTGTGTGCCTGTAATCCATCTTTAAATTGCATCAATTGTGGTAATCTTCTTCATTTTTTAAATCTGCTTTGTTACAGTTCCACTCTGTCCTTTCTCACCTCTGTTCTGTCTGTCTTTTCTGTCTGCACAGGTCTTCTTTCACGCAGTTGTTCCACATCCTCTTCTTCTTTGGACTCCAGACAAGCTTCCAGACGACCACCAAGACCGCCACCACGACAAAGACCACCTCTGCGCCCATGGCAGGAACGGACTCCTCCGAGCACCAGATCTACTCCTACGCCCTCCCGTTCCCTCACCGCCACCCCACACTCTGGTACATTACTTTTGACCATCTACAATAATTAGCCTTGAATATGTATTTGTAAATAGCAATATGCACCCTAATGAGGGATCAGGTTCCAAACACAGTCTTGCATCACCCTCAACTGCAAAGACTAATCCCAGCAAATAAATGAACATAAATGAGTTGTTTATCAAAATTATTATTCATGCATTATCCCTTTGCAGAGTCTTTGCAGTGTACATTATTTGCATTGTGTAAAGATATCAATAAGCAAGCCATGAGAAGGTTTTTTAATGTAAGTAACTGTAACCTTTCTGTAACTTTTTCTAAGTAACCTTTCTAAGTATCTGGTCACATGACACATAAATATTATGATACACGTTAACGATTGATGCAACTTACCCTAGTCTCTACTAGGTTTTGAATGTAAAATGTGTGATGTTTTTAGATGGATATTAAAGGGATAGTTTTGAAAATTAGCCCATGATTTACTCACCCCGAAGCCATCCTAGGTGTATAAGACATTCTTCTTTCAAACGAATACAATCGGAGTTATATAAAAAAAAAATGTCCTGGCTCTTCCAAGCTTTATAATGGAAGTCAATTTGTATATTTTTTTGGAAGTCCATCAAAGTGGATCCATCCATGATAAAAGTGCTCCACACAGCTCTGGCGGGTTAATAAAGGCCTTCTGAAGTGAAGCGATGCGTTCGTGTAAAAAAAATATCCATATTTAAAACTTTATCGACTAAAATAACTAGCTTCCGGCCAGGGCTTGACATTAACACCCGCCAACCCGCCAAATGCGGGTGCATTTCACCCGTGGCGGGTAACACAGTCACTCTCACTAGCCACTTTGGCGTGTTGAAGATTTGTAGTCTTGTCAAAGGACATCTGACATAACAAACGAATTGCAATTTGACACTATGCCACTACCACTCCCATGAGTACCACCTGCACATAGTTTAGTGTTTGCTCATTGGTCCATTCGTGAATCCTCTTGAACGACAACACTGCAAACAAGAAGACACGCGGAGATTAAACTCGCGGACTGTGCGACGAACTGGGCTGTTTTAGTCTGCCCTTAATTATCAACTTAATGTGGTGATATAGCGATCTTTTTTTAATAGCAGGAGAATCCAGACCACCGGCGTGTCTCACGCTCTCCTGCAGTGCCGCTGCGCGAGGGTGCGCGCGCCAAACAAACGATCATCACACGCGACTGGTCGCATACACACACACATCAACACAGCGTTCAGTCAGTTCGTGAGTGTGCATGGCCGGTATTAAAGCAAAAATCATCTTCATGATTAAGGGCCACGGTGTAGGCCTAACTACTAGCAGGGCTGCCCTTATGTCACGTCATATCACAACTATCTTTCCAGAGTTAATTCTATGTTTTAATAAAATTAATCATGCCATGAAAGAAAGCAGGAGATGCGCTTGTGGGAATAATCTGGAAAATAAAGACCTGTAGGCCTATACTTGTTTCAGGTGGACATATCTCCAGTTACTCAGAGCTTCATGATGATAATTATTAAGTCAGAGCTCTGAGGAAAAGCTGATGCAAAACAAACAATCCAAAGTCCTATATAGTCCTATATAGCCTATATAAAGTTGTAATCCTGGTGCTTTAATTGTGGATTTTTTCTTTAAAATTATTATTTATTCTTTGCTCGTTGTTTCTAATGCAGATAATTGTTCTACTCTGTATTGCAGTATTTACTGCTGTAAAACAAAAAACAAACAAACAATGCAGCACTTTTATTATATACAATAAGAAGCTATTTTATGTGTGTATCTTAGACAACATGTTATCAAAAAAGGAGCTTAACAACCTTATCAGAGCTAATGATAATATTAGTTCATTTTAGCACGTTTTCAGCCCCATTGTCAATTTTAATCATATAAAACGTACAACAACAAAACTGTGGCTAGTAAAAATGCTGCGTGGCTAGTCATTTTGGAAAACCACTAGCCACATTGGCTAGTGAGCAAAAAAGTTAATGTCAAGCGCTGCTTCCGGCAGACGGCCATACACAAGTCGACTTAAGCCAAAAGAGTAACATACTTTTGGGTGAACTATCCCTTTATTAGTGCATTTAGAGATTATGAGATGTTTTGAAATATTAAAACTTTTTTTTTTCACCAGGAATTGCTCGCAGCAGGACCCCTTCAGTCAGCAGCACAGCATATGAGAGCTCAGATGTGCATTTAGGGGAGCGTGTATTGGTGGTGGGACAAAGGACAGGGATTGTGCGGTTTTACGGGAAGACCAGTTTTGCTCCAGGTATGACACTATCGCCTTTCTAACAACCTCCTGCAGTGTGCGATAGCTCAGGAAAGTGTGCTATGGGTCGGGGTTAATTGCACATTTAGAGATATTCAATGGCTACTCCTTTGTCAATGTACTTGGATCCTTCTCCTTTATGTAACCTCTGGATGAATTAAAGCCATATTTCAGTAGCAGCATAAATGTTCCAAGACGTTCAATATCACACAATGGATAAAGAAACATTTTATAAATGAGTAAAAGGCCAGCCACTCAAATTCACTTAACGCGCACATTACCTGTGTTTCTGCTGGGACTTTATGTCTGCAACTCTGCCAGGTCTTTAAGTTGAATGCAGCAGTTTTTAAATGTATACCGTATAAAGGTTATCCGCTTAATGGAACTGGTACTCAGGTGAGCTCAGCAGTTCTTCAGCACTGTGAAGTTAGTCACTGTATTTATTTACTGCAATACATCGGACATTTTGCAGAATTTCAAGGACACTCGTTGTATTCCAAGAACCTTCAGCTACATCCTTTTAGGGCTCAGATTATACAAATGAAAATGCATGCCATATAAAAGAAATGATAAGATTGCAGTATTTGTATTGTAAGTAGCATGTTAAAATGAAGAAAAAAAAACATGTACTTATTTAATTTAGTAATAACAGTAAATACTGCATAATTACAAGCAACTAACCCTAATCCTAACCCTAGCACTATAGTAAAAACATGTTAGTAAAATATTACAATGCATAAGTGCACCCTGAAATAAAGTGTAACCCCATTTATTACTAAAGTCAGGCGTTTTAAAGTCAGAGTGTATGCTCTGAAAGGACTGAATGGAGAACAGATTTATACGGATTGGTGAACTGAGAACAAAATTTATTGCATATTGTCCATGATTGTGAATGCTGACTCCGCTGATATTGAACCAAATAAAATCAAGATTCAGGTTCAGCGAGCACTCTGGATTATGAACAGTTGAGACACAGTTTAATACTTTGAAGCAGGGAGAGCAACTCAATACTGTTCATTCTTTGAAGGATCGATATTGTATCATCAATTTGTATTTAATTTGTTTAATAAGCCAATGTGCCATTGTGCACATGAGCTGACGTACCACTGTATTAAGGCTTGTGTTTATGTTTATATATATATATATATATATGTGTGTTTGTGTGTGTGTATATATGTGTGTATATAAATATATAAAATATATATATTTGAAGATTTGTAGATTAAATACATTTTATTTGACATAATGTGATTGAATATTTATGCCTGAATGCTGCTGGTTCATGGTTTGGAAAACAAGAGTAGCTAAACTATTCCCATAAAAAGCCTTAAAAGGCTTACTCTAGTCTGCTAATTAATGACCCCTGAGTGCTGTTGAACTCCGAGTTTTTTGTGGAGAGCACTTTCATGTAGCAGGAAGCACAGTAATTTCATCAAAATCAATTGGAAAAGCTAAAAACAGATTTGGAGAGAAGTCAGGGATAGCTTACTACAACAAATATTATATTGGCCAATGCTATTATATGCACAGAAGGGACAACATATAATAAAATACATTTTGCAGTCCTGGTCAGAATTATTAGCACAATTGGTAAATGGGAACAGAGAAGCCTGTGAAAATAAATCTGCATTGTTGATCCTTTCATTTAAAAAAAATCACAAAAATCGAACCGTTCGTTGAAGTAAAATAATTGAAAATGGGAGGAAATATCTTTATGAAATATGTTTTTCTCCAAAACACATTGGCCACAATTAATGGCACTCATTTATTCAATACTATTTGCAACCTCCTTTTGCCAAGATAACAGCTCTGAGTCTTCTCCTATAATGCCTGATGAGTTTGGAGAACACCTGACAAGAGATCAGAGATCATTCCTCCATACAGAATCTCTCCCAATCCTTCAGATTCCCAGAACCATGTTGGCGCTTCTTCTCTTCAGTTCTGCCCACTCATTTTCTATAGGGTTCAGGTCAGGGGACTGGGATGGTCGTGGCAGAAGCTTCATTTTGTGCTCAGTGACCCATTTTTGCATTGATTTTGATGTTTGTTTTGGATCATTGTCTTGATGGAAGATCCAGCTGATTTCCATTTTAATATTTCTAGCAGAAGCGGTCAGGTTTTGAGTTTTTATCTGTTGGTATTTGATAGAATCCATGATACCATGTATCTGAACAAGAAGTCCAGGACCTCTGGTAGAAAAATAGGCCCACGCAGGGCCGAATTAAGACAGTGTGGTGCCCCTGGGCACTATACCTCAAAAGGCCCTCTATATTCAAATATCTCAATTCAAAATGTACATCAATTTATTGACGCTGTCAATTCACGTTTGTCCAAAAATAATAATACATTTATCAGGTTTCTTACCTTTACAGGCATGAAAACGGGTCAGGGGTGAAAAAGGTGAGAAGGTAGGGGGGTCCTCTAGGGGGGTCCGGGGGCATGCCCCTCCGGAAGAAATTTTTAAATATTCCATATTTTAAAGCATCAATCTGATGCATTTTGAAATGCATCTTTTGCCAACCTGGGGAGAGTTGGAGAAACTTAACTTCAGCCATGAGTCAAAAATATTATGGCCTCCGTAGCGTTAGCTAATAATTTTCCACCAGAGCTTTAGCTAGCTGGCTAATGTTGCGTTCTCTCCTGCTGTGTTCAACTCAATTCATCAAGCTGTTGCTAATGTTAGCTAAGCCTATGTCAACAGAGCTCCTGGTTAACTTAGATATAGCCTACCAGAAAATATTAGGGATGTCCTAGCGGTGAACTTCGAAACAGCAGCGCATCAAATACCGAATTGAACAAAATTATGATATTGTACCATTTGAAATATAATATATACCGGTATTTTTGCAGTACCGGTATACCGCGCATCCCTATAAACAAGTTATGTATGGTCTTTCAAGAATTTCAAGTTAATAATATAACAATTTACGAAAACTATTTTTAAAGCTTGTGTCATGTGGTGCCCCCCTAGTGGTTGTGAATGGTTGGTGCTCCTGGGCACTGGCCCAAGTGCCCTTATGGATAATCCGGCTCTGGGCCCACGGCATTAAAGATCTAGCATTTTATTTAACCATGGGCATGGGGTACTTTTTTTCCATGAAAAACTCATCTGTTGGGTTTGCTACCAAAAAGCTATTGTTTTAGTTTCATCTGACCAATCTGAATATGCTGGAGTTTGTTTTTGGATGATAGAAAGGATTTTTTTTCTCGAAACCCTCCCAAACAACATGTGGTGATGTAGGTGCTGTTTGATGACGCTTTCTGACTCCAAGACTACAATTCTCCAGCTGTGATCCTTGGAGAGTCTTTGGACACTCAAACTCTCCTCCTCATTGTGCATTAAGACAATTTGGCCTTGTTTCCTCATATTTATACTCCTGTGAAACAAGAAGTCATGACTGGAAAATTTCGTGTTCCTAGTCAGCCTGGTGTGCTAAAAAAAATGTTAATATGAATGGGAATATACTTTAGAGATATTTTACTCTTAAGAATTTCTAGGGGTGCCAATAATTGTGGCCAACGTGTATTAGAGAAAAAAAAACTGTTATTTCATAATGTGATATCCCCCCGCTTTCAGTTGTTTTACTTTAGTGAAAAGATTTTTTTTGTGAATTTTTAAAAAAATTAAAGATCAAAGGAATACACAATGCAGATTTCTTTTCACAGCCTAATCTGATCATATTTACCAAGGGTCCCAATAATTCTGACCATGACTCTACACATGACACAAGCATCTACCATATCGTTTAAATAAAACTAATGTCTTTATATATGGTCAGACACCTGCATGTGTCATTATATTAGTTACAATTTACCAACATCAAGCTGAAATTGAGATTTTTAGACATATGTCTTTAAGGCAGTAAGTCCATCGGATTATGTTTTCATCAACTCACAGGTTATAAAGTGTATTTTAGCTGTGTGGGCATTAAGCATTTTACCAAAATCCCATGTTACTAAAAATGAAGTGATATTCTCCACTCCTCGAGTACATAAAGACTTGGAAGTGCCCAGTATTGAACTGAAAACTAATATCTTATTACCAAATTATATGAACACAAATCAATTATATTTCAGGCAGGATGAGAGCTATTGCTCCGTAAGCACTTCCAACGCCTGCTAAGGTTGACCATCGTTACACTTCTATAATGAAACACATGCAGCATGAAGCTTGACAGCTTTTTCAACCGAACACATGCCAGGAGTCGATAGTTGCTTATGAAGGCTTTGGACTTGGAAATTTAAGCAGCTGACTTAAAGTTTGCAGCTGGAAAAGAACCTAACTTAAGTGCCCTCACACTTTCTTTTGTCTCTATAAGAACGTGGATCTTATCCGTGCCATTTTACTGATAGGGCACCTTAAGGTGAAATCCATCTTCCTCTCAATGTGCCCTTTTCATCTGCTATTCACACATTTATAGAATACAACTCACCCTGTGCTTTGTTCTTTGTTTACTAAAAAAGCAACTGTTTGTCCCTGCATTACAAAGCATCACAAAGCGTTTGGAAGGAATAACTGGATTTACTCAAATCGCAGGATTTGGTATTCGTTTGTTTAGGCTCGAGCTGAACTGAGAGATGACAGATTGGAGATTGTTTACCAAGCTCAGGTCGGCAAGAGAATCGCTACATTTCTCAAAACGTGTGTGCTTACACACGATGTGTGTGTGTGTGTGTGTGTGTGTGTGTTTGTGTCCCTGACAGGATTTTGGTTGGGGATTGAGTTGGACAAGCCGAGCGGGAAGAATGACGGATCAGTTGGAGGAGTACGATACTTCAGCTGTCCTCCTAAACACGGAGTCTTCGCCCCACCCTCACGAGTTCAGAGGCAAGTGCAGAATTTGCAGCCATAACCGCATCTTAACTGAGTCTTATTTCTGGTATCTTGCTGACTTTTAGCGTGATTATTTCTAGCCGACTGTGTCTTTGATTGTTGAACTGAGATTTCGACCTTTCTGTACAGAAGCATTAATAAGATTGTGCATCGACATTTGTAAGTCATTTCTGCATGAGGGACGTAACGGTCCCCACAGAAAATAACCGTCCTGCCCTTGTCCTCAAAAGACATTTACTTTGGCATCACAGATAAAATTGTCGGGATACTTTTTGGCAATTAGACTTCTGGCAGATAATAACATTTGTGAAAAATTCAATAGTATTTAAAAGAGGAGTCGGAAGCCTTAGAAATTGCATAGAAATGCCCTGGGAGCCACCCAACCTAAACTGTAGCATTGGGCTGGCAAGTTTGGTCACATTTCTTCATAAAGTGTAGTTTATATTTGACTTTTACTTCTTTTACTTTAATTTGACAGGAAAGGAATGACTTTCTTTCTACTTTCTTTTAATTAATTTTAATTCCAGCCTTTTTTTCTTTGTATTCGATTTACTTTTCTCCAGTCAGTCTTCCATTATGAGTTTAATCCTTCCCATCGACAGCGGTCTGCCCTCCATTTGTCCCTCTGTACCTTTTACTGCTTTTATTCCCCTGCTGGTTTTTCAACAAATGATCAATGTTCGTATCTTCTCCATCTGTCATGAATCATATATTCTTAATTCAGAACCATTCACCTATGCCATATTCCGCTCTTTCTTTCCCATTGTAATTTTGTAAAGGGTCTGAGCGACTGATAAGCTCATTGTTCTAAATGCTTTCTTTCGTTGTGTCTTCTTAATTAACCCTCGGGACAGCCTCAGACACGCCGGCAGAGAGATCCCAACCGCTTCCATTCATTTTGTCAGAGGCTCTTCAAATTGAAATAGCCACTATTTATTTCTTAAAGACCCACTCCGATGAAAATAATGTTTTTCTATGTGTTAACATGTTCTTGTGGCATTTTTCTTATGTTAGAGGACATATCTTGAGAAAAATAAGCTCAAAGTTGTATTTCTGAGTATTTCTACATTCAAATGGCTGTGAATCAGTAGCAGACGCTAAAATGCTGGCTAAAATAGACTGGAGTTGTGACGTAGTAACTCCACTGGGCGTCTCCACACGCGACGTCTTGGAGTGAAATAATGATCGGTGATAACTTTGATTAACTTCGGATAATAATAATTAACGTGTATATAATACTGTTGCCCCACCGGTATTGGGGGTGTAAGCTAGCGGGAGAGACAGAGCTCTCGGCAAAGGGCAGGGGGAGGGTCGTCTCCGTGCCAACGGCTCCGCCCACAACGCAGAGGCGAATTGCTAATGAGCTACTGCCGCTCTGCTGAAGCGAAGTCCCAGAAAACGGCACAGGTTTTGTGATTTTGGCTAAAAATGGCATAATCATAATTTAAAGACCACTGGGAATGTTTAAAAATAGCTCAAAATATGATCGGAGTGGGACTTTAATGCATTTTCCTCGTATTAAAAAGATTCTCCAGCCAAAGATGAAAATTCTCTCTTTCATTTACTCAACATAACGCCATGCCAGATGACTTTTTTCTGTGGAATACAAAGAAAGATTTTTTAGAAAAACAATTAAACTCTGTGAGTCCATATAATGCAAGTGGATGGAACCCTCAAAGTTGACTCTTCAAAAACCACACAAAATGAACACGACAGTAACCCACATTACCCGATCAATGTCTTCTGAAGCGAAACTCTAGGTGTGCGTGTGAGAAACATACTAATGAAGTGAACATTCATAGAGCTTCCGAACAAATCTTTGGGGGGCGGACTGGTGGGAAAGTGAACCCGAGGTTACCTACTGAGTCAGTCCTAGAGCTCCTCCTGTCGGATTTTAGGGAAAGATACGGTCTATTGGAGAGGTCCAATAGATGTCTTAAGGCCTGTTCACACCAGGACGAATTTCCCGCGCGATATTCGCCGACGTTTAACGCCTCGTGACTAAACAAAGGGCGCCAATGTGAGTGTGCACACCGACACGAAAAACGCCACGCGTAAAAGCGTCATTTTTTAAAAAACGCCTCGGGTTCGCGCCGCGTCAAAAACTATCCGACCAATGAGATTGGCGCTTTTGCTCACGTGTCTGGAGCTTCTGAAGTTACAGTAAAACACAACTTGGGGACGCTCAAACACAAAATGGTCTTGCCGAGCACATATACGTAACGGCGAAGAAGATATACGCCAAGTAGCGTCTACACTGCCGGGAAGAAATAAGACGAGGAAGATGCAAGGCAAGATCTAGCTGCTGGTCTCGTTGCTGTCGGAACATAAAGAACTATATGACAAACGCGACAGCGACTACAAAAATCTTGATAAAAGAGAATGTTATGGAGTGGTATTGCAGAGCAAATGGGCGCCATCTAATGTCAGGGAATGAATTTGCATGTTCACTCGGCTCATTGTCAGCGAAAATCGCTTGGGTGTGAACACAAAAAAAGCGTTGAAAAACGCGCGCCGATATTCGTCCCGGTGTGTACGAGCCTTTAGGCTCGCAGAAAGAACACCACAGACACAGTGAAATCACCATGGGAAAATCTCAGAGTAAAACTGGGAGTTGTGAAAAACATGATACACCGGTGTTTTACCAGATGAGCAGTTTATCGATGTATCATCTTTTTATTCTTTTACTTCCTTTTATAAATGTTTTAATTTTCCCAAAACTTGTTTTGCCTTGCCTAATATTTGAAACTTATTATAACCTTTGAAACAAAACGTATAAACTGTAAACTTTATACTATAAACCATTACTACTTAACATGATCACCATAAGTTTGCGCTTGACGAAAACGTCTCCGTCAACAAGTGACGTGTTTAATGTGGGTTTTTCAAACCGTGGAGTTACCTGAGCCTGATTGAATGCGGTAGAGAAAATGCCAGTGTGGAGAGATGTGCTGAAGTGTGTGTGTGTGTGTGAGAGTGCTGGTAAAAGTGTAGGTGTGAGGGCATGGGATCTAGAGGGCAGGTGGTAGGGTGACTGGAGAGGAGAGGTTTAGATACTTCTGCCTCAGCGAGGGGAGAGAAGATTGCTGGAGTTTTGTCAGTGAAGAAATGAGCAAAATCATCAGCGGTTAAAGAGGAGGTGGCTGGTGGCAGAGGAGAGAGTTGAATGTTTGGAAAAGTGTGCGTGTGTTTGAAGCATGTTGTGGAAATATGAAAATTGAGCAGATGAACTTCAACAGAAAAGGATGAGAGCAGAGACTGATACATATTCAGGTCAGATAGGTCTTCTGATTTGCGCCATTTTCTCTCTCCTGCCCTGGGGCCATCCTTAAAAATATTTTGGTTTGCAGTAACGGCAAAAAAAAAAAAAAAAAAGGTAGGTAGGTAGGTCTATATATATTTTTTTTTTTTTTAAAATTCAATGAAAAAAAGAAAAGGACAATTTTGGTCATGGTGATTACGTCGGTATGAATTTAAACAAATTTGCATAACGTGACGCCACTGACTGTGTCTTCAACCCATGCCTTTGGGCGCACCATTGCGAATCTCATTCTGATACAGGTTAGACAACAAACAATTTGAAATCTTTGTCAAAAAACATGTTTATTGCATTAATTCCAGCTGCATTCATTTGGGGAAAAAGAGTGGATTTTCAGAGGGAAACAAATAAATTAAAATGACTAATCTCACCAGCGCCGCGCCGACCAATAAAACAGCGCATTTGGCACTATTCGTTTAAATTGGACCCATAAACATCTGCTATTATTAACGGAAATCAGTGAGGTCAAATGGCGAGGCGCATTGTAGAAACTATATTAAGTAGTCCTGACATATTATGGAATGGTCGATTTTCTTTAGTGTAATTTAGTACATTTCGGTATGGGATGTGCTGTTTTATTGGTCAGCGCGGCGCTGGTGAGATTAGGTCGCGCAAGCAAACACTTCCTCCCTGCGCTGTCGAGTCTGTCGCGCTCGCGCGTCTCGGTCCATTGAGCCGCACAGATTACATGTCCGCGCTGCGCGAACCGCGCCGTTTCGTCCCACTTTTGGTGTGTTTGGCTTCCCATACTTATGTGTGTTTGTCAGAGCCTGCAGTTGCTGTGTGACGCGCGTTCGCGGCGGCCATATCGTGACGAGCTGGACGCGCTCCGAGAAAAGGCCGTTAACATCTATTCCCTATTTGACCATTAAGAATTTCGAATAATGAGCGCCTAAATGTAGGCTCATACAGACGTATTTCACAAGCAGCCGCGCCGCAGCCATCACCGAGCGCGAACCATTGACCGTGAATGAAACGAAGCGAACGCACAGGCCATAGTGTGACATGCGTAAACCAATGGTGTAAACATAATCATCATAGATGACGCCACGGGTTTTTATTTAAAAGAAAGAACGTAGCCTATGCAATTTATATTCACAATACTTACTATAATATAATTGATATTTTATTGCATTTATATTAGTTGTTTGAAGAGTAAAAAAAAAATCGGTCGGTCTTAATGCAAGTTTACAACCGGCAAGTCGGTCGGACTAAAAGGGAAAAAAAATAAAAAATTGGGTCGGTCCTAAATTGACAGGGTCGGTCGGGTTACGGCAAACAAGAATATTTTTAAGGATGGCCTGGGTTTGGTCCGGTGTTCACGAAGAACATCAGATAACCAGGGGTTAGAGGGAGTAGCATGCGCTGGCCTGGAGGAGAGAGGAAAGATATGGTCTAGGAAAGATGTCGAAGTGGAACATAAAGTGTCCGATGCGGTGTTCACATCCAGAGATGAGAATCGTGTGGGTGAGGGACACAACAGAGGAAAGATGGGAGGAGAAAGTGAGCGCAGGTTTCGTCTGAATGTAACTGATAGAGTGGTTGCTGGTGCACAAGTAGTAAGTTGTAGATTGAAAGTAATGAAGAAAGTATCTGAAATGTGCAGAGGTTTCACCAAACTGGTGTATGTGATGCAGACTACTGTTTCTAATGTTGTATCTTTTGTAATGTTGGTTAGCAAAGATCACAGTAATAGCAAATAATAAACAGAGCAATTCCAAGAGGGTCCTCACACCATCGGTGCTCGGGCCCTAATAAAGGTATATTTAAAAAGAACTAAAGCTCTTCAGGTATGCTGAGATGTTTTGAAGTCTTAATAAACACTTTTTATAGTAATTTAGTCCATAATTATTTTTAATATATTTTTTGAAGCTCTTCAAACATTTTTTGTACTATTATAACGTCATTTTAAATGTTAAATATAAAAAACAAAAAATCGAATTGACCGAACTTGACCTTCAGCCCCCACATCCTCTTGATAATGCCTCCTCAAACGGGGTTTGTTGGCAGTCAAGTCAACGTGTTGTCGTCTTCAACAATTTACTGCAAGCTCATATTTAAGTCTGGCTTCCATCAAATTATGGAAGTAAAATGGATTTCGAGTACCATTTCATGTTGACTTCAAAGATATTTATTTCAAAGAGTTTTTACCTGTCCGTTGGAGAAGCATTCCGTCCCCCCAGTCCTAACGTGTAAAGGTTTGTGATTTTGTTCCTGCTACATATTTACATGTCAAATTGCTTGTGACAATTTTGACAAGCATTTGTCAAAATAAACCCATGTGACTGTCACTATTTTGAAGTGATAAATTTGTTGTTTGACAGCTACCAGAGTATACGCAAGGGTAAAATAATGTGTCTTGACAGTTTTCTGCCAGAGCATCAGTTGTTCAAGTGCAGTGGTAGAAGTAATACTGAACATTCACTTTGTTTTAACTAGCAGGATTCATGGCTCAGTAGACTGTCTGTCAGAGCTGTCCTCGTCTCGGATGAACTATTCCTTCACAGGTGAGCCATTCCTGCTGTCTGATTCCCTCTCCGCTGTCAAATCTTGTATGACTGACGTATTGCCTTTTTTTCATATAAAACTGTCGTTTTTCAGAGATTTGGTCATTTTTCAGTGGATGTTTGTGTTTGTTTTATTAAAGGAATTCGACGCACTCTCAGCACTTCCACAGCCATCGCTACCCAGAGAGAACCGAGTCGTAAAGGTCAAGCAAGCAGGTAGAAATAATGTTAATACGACTGTAACTTTTTTCAAGTAAATAATTTGTTGTGGCTCGGTGGTTTAGTCCATGTGTTCCGCATACATTGAACCTTGGTGCTCATGATGGAGAAATGTTGGTTTGAGTTATATCATATCATTTTCTGTCCTCATTTCCATGATTTTTTTTTTTTTTTTTTTTTTTTTTACCAAAATCTAAAGATGCCCAAATCTCAAAGATTCCTTTAGTTTCCAAACAGGCACTTTTTGGTAGAAATGTATGTAGTAATTAGTATTAATTCATTTTGAATCTCATAAATGTTTGTATTACTTAGTATTAATATTTTTTATTTTTTTACTGAAGCTGAAATTCAAGTTTTCATTTAGTTGAAAACTGAAACTGAAAATAAATCTTATTTAATAGTCAATCAATTCATTGCATTTATGTATTAACCAACACTCAAATAAAAACAAATGGTTGTATACAAACATTTCAATTGTACATATCAATGATGTATTTATGTCTCTACTCCAATTCGTGGATTAAATATAAACATTTAAACGATGACTGTAACTTGTTTTCATGACATATTTATTCAAACATAAATAATGAAGGCAACAGGTTTAGTAAAAATGACTAATACAGTGAATATATTTAGCTAAATGAGTCATTTTATTTCTACCTGACATTGAATTGGACATTGAATGGTTTTCTTGAGGTAGATGTAACATCACTTGACATATTGTTCACAAGCTGTTTTGTTGACGACTTTCTGCGGTTGAAACACTTTAAAATAAGTGTCAATTTCTAACATTACCCAAGGTTAATAAAAGTATTGTTCATTGCTAATTTCAACATTTACTAATACATTTTTACATGAATTTGTATCTCTTAACACAAGTTAATGCATTATAAACTAACACGAATGATCAAGGTATAATAATAGATTCATATTTTTCATGGTTCAGTATTGTTTTGAAATTTTTGTAATAAAAGTTCGGCACTTTTTCATGTGTTATGTCTGTTTTCATACAATTTCCATTTTAAAAACTATCAGTCGATTAGTCGTTATCGGCCAGCGTGGTCCTAGTTATCATTATCGCTAAAATCCACTATCGGTCGACCTCAATGATTTTTCGGCCCAATAAAAGTGTTTCGACTGAAATCGAAAATTCTTTTTCGCCTTTGTAGCGTTAATTAGTCCCTTGCATCCCATTCTCAAATGCTCTTTGTCGTCTCTCAGGAACCGTTCCAGTAATTTGCGGCGCCGTTGGAGCACAGTCAGCGCTGGCAGGGGTACATCAAGGGCGAACAGCAGCGCTGGCCCAGGGCCTAACCGAGTGGGTGGCACCAGTTCCTCTGGCTCAGATGGCACTGTCAAACTCCACCTGGGCATGCAGGTCTTGCTAATTAGTGCCAATGAGATGGGCACCATCCGCTACGTTGGCACAGCTGACTTTGCCCCCGGCCTCTGGCTCGGCCTCGAGCTGCGAAGCCCGAAAGGAAAAAACGATGGTTCCGTGGGCAACCGACGCTACTTCAGCTGCCGACCTGGCCATGGGGTTCTGGTGCGACCCAGCAGGGTCACGTACCGTGGTATCAACGGGGCCAAGCTGGTGGATGAAAGCAGCTGAGACCGCCACACGCTGGAAAATGGGCTTCCCATCTCTCAACCCATTCATTTTTGTTTCTATGGATTTGTTTTGACATTTTCTTTCTAACTGCACTAAGACTCAGACGTTCACTGGTGATAAACTGTTTACTCCGTTTTGTGATCTAACTAAATATTATGTTTGGGAGAAAATATTACATTTGAACTCTTCTGAGGTTTTCATTTTAACTGGAGGTTTGAATTCATATGCGTCTGATGAAGTAAACAGTAGCAATATCGGAGCACTTTAATAAAAGTCTGTGGGCGAAGACAATGAGTTGCAGGATTTAAGAAGTTCAGACAATTTAATAGCTTCAATAACTGTGACAATATTAGCTCCTCAGAAGTTCTCTGAGAATGAAGCATAGCTTAGTTTGTCTACTCTTGTCTGCAGGTGCGAGTCCCTTCAGAACATGGCACTTGCGTTTTCAGAAACTCGTAATCTTTCCTCTTGATGCAAGAGCAGTTACGATGAAATAATAAGCACTTTAATATTATCATAATCCAAGATTTAATCAGCTCAGAGAATCAAAACTTGATTGTTTCACAGATGATGCAGCAGTTGTTACAGCTGACAGGTTTTTGTTCAGAGATACCTAATAGAAACTTGCGTCAGTTTTATGAAGTCAGTCAACGGAGATAAACAGACCAAACGATGAAGACTAAATCAAGCTACCACTAGTAGTTTAAACTCAAATCAGAAGCTGTTTTGTGGATATTGCTTTTCTTCGGGATGTTTTAAAGGGATAGCTCATCCAAAAAGGAAAGTTCTGTTGTTTCAAACCCGTAAGACTTTAGTTCATCTTCGGAACACAAGTGAAGATATTTGTGATGAAATCTGAGAGTTTTCTGTCCCTCCATTGACAGCTACGCAACTACCACTTTGATGCTTCAAAAAGTTCATAAAGAGATCGTGAAAATCATCATATCAAGCGATCGTGTCTCTTAGCAATTCATATGGATTAGTTTTACGATCTCTTTGGGAACTTTTTGAAGCATCAAAGTGTAGTTGCGTAGCTGTCAATGGAGGGACAGAAATCTCTTTTAGATTTCATTAAAAAAATATTCATTTGTGTTCAAAGATGAACGAAAGTTTTACGGGGTTGGAACAACATGAGGGTGAGTAATCAATGACAGAATTTTAATTTTTGGGTGAACTAACCCTTTCAGGTCTGTAATAGCAAATCAAACAATTGTTGAGAAGAACCATAATAATGAAGCAAGTAGTGTTTTTCATACTTTGAAGATCATTCATATAAGTTAGTTATATTAGATAATAAAAGGCTTAGAGAAGAGACTGACAATAATTTGGATAAAATCGTTGTTTGCATCTTTTTTTTCAAAGGCAATTGTTCCAGTTTTATTTAATTGGTTTCAATTATTGATTCACTTATATTTTCCATCCCTTTCATTTTTAATTCCTTTCCAAATTCTTAATTAAATAATGTCTTGGATGAGCTTACAGTGGGTATAAATGCAAGACATACAGATGAATGATTCCTCGAGAATCATATCATTTTGCACTAATGAGTTGTTTATGATATCAGAACATTCTAAAGAGAAACACATGAGATTGAAAAATGGCAACAACAACAAACAACAAAAAAATCAGTAAATGATAAGGATTATAAAATTTCCAATGGAAGTTGAAGTGTAATTGCACATTTCAGCCTGTATCCACAGGGATGTTTTGTGCTGTCTGTACATGATCTGCTTAGCTGTGTGTTGGGTGTATATTTTGTGTGAATTTAAATGTAGTATTTTAGCAATAAAACTGATTTATTAAATGTAATGCACAAAGAATGTTTGTCAATTTTGTCAGCTGATGACAATAAAAAGTTCTAATATTTTAAAATCTGTTTTGTTTTCTACCTAACCTAGACTTCATTCATACTATTTAGAATGTAGATTTTTACAGTTGCAAAGTTCATTCCTCATTAAATATAAAACCTACTCAGTATGCGGTTTTGGACGGAATAAATGTGAGTTTTAGTAGATGTAGTCAGTTCCCATCAAGTTCATCACATTAACTATTCTGATCCAAATAGCAAATGTTCTAAAACATACAAAGAAAATAAATGTAAATAATCAATCAATAAAATTTTTCTTTTTGATGGTAATCAGATGTTTATCCTCAGCATCTGATAACTGAGCACTGGTTTATTTGAATGAATTTATTTAGTAATAGGATTAATAATAGCTGGGTTTCAGTCACGTGATTATGATGACGTGCGGAATTCAGATGGAGGGCAGGGAGTGAAGAGCGCAATGGACGAGATGGAGGAAAGTCCGTACTGTACTACTTTACACGCTATTACAAGAGAAAGATATAAACAAAAAATCAAACATATGTTGGACGTGATCCTTACGTTATGAAGAGGAGCGATTTTTCAACTGAATTGAAAGATTTTCCAGCCATCGAGGCGGTAGATATCAGCAACTACCTCGTCTTACAGACATACTTTGACTTTACAAAGTTCGTAAACGTTACACAAACATAGCCACTTAAGTTGTATTAACTCACCTTTGACGGAGTGATCGCTGCACACACGGGCATTTTCCCATTCGGCTCCTCTCAACCGCAGACGTAGGTTTGCAAGCCGTTTTTCCGGAGTTTTTAGGTCAATTTCTTGCATTTCCCCCCCTTATGAACAACAACTTTTGGTACACGATAAAAACTCCTCGTGGTTTGATCGATTTAAGTAACCATAAACGACGCAAAACATAGGCATTTTGAGTTTGTTATAGTGCTTTCTAAATACAGCAAATCACTTCCTGCCCTCCATTTGCATTTCGCGCCATGGCAACGCAGTGGCGTGACATCATATGAAAACAAGCTATTGATTCAGTAAACCAAACCCAAAAGCTTGAAGCATGGGATTTGGATTTGAGCTGTGAAAAATGAACCTACTGGTACAATCAGTTTGTTGTCTACATACTGAAGATCCTCTTTGTGCACTTATATAACCCAGAGTTATAACTTTTGGAAATTTAATTTTGCAGCAACTCGTTTTAAATTCATATAGCCAATTAACGTCCACTTTATCAAGTAAAAGGTCACCTCTCCCCCTTTTTCTCCTTGGTCCACTTTACATCTTATTTGTGTCAAGAATCATCCAGTAACTCAGCGTGTATAAACATCACATCATGCTGTTTACACGGAAAGTGAAACAGCATGACATAATAATCGCAGCACATCATAAAATATGAGCAAAGTGATTTTGACCAATGAGATCTCATGAATGGCAAGGCTTCCCGCCATGACGCTGCCTAAATAAAATAGCTTTCAATATAATATATAACTGCTTGTCATGGTTGATTAGGACGATATTAGGAATTGGTCAGGAAATACCACATTGTGACCATGGGCAGCCATCTGCTCTATGTTTACTCGATACCGTACATTCAGGGGAACGCTCAGTGCATTGGACTGCCATTGGACTCATATTCATGGAAACAGCTTGAAATGATTTGTGACATGCTGAATTAGTATCCATTTGAAAATGGGTGGACCACGGCCATGAAAAGACTCGCGTGGTCAGCATGGAAGCTTTGCTATACCGTGACATTCACACTGGCTCAAATGTTTTTAATAGGCCTAATTTATGAGAGGAACACATTCCCGAGACATTAGACACTATAGATCAATAGATTCCTGCTGTTAATGCCAGATTCTGATCCTGCCATCTGCATGTCAAAGCAAAAATTAAGATTCATCAGACCGTTTGTTAATGTTCAATTATTCAGTGTGTTGGTTCTGCCCTCTGTGACCTTGATTGATAGGAGAGAACTCTATCATAATGTCCTGCTGCTCAAGCCCATCAGTGGTGATGGTTTGACATACTGCACAGTCAGAGATGACCTTCACCTCAGTGTTGCAAGTTTGTTTCTTTGTGGTCTTTTTTTACTGTATCAGATTGAACAGATCTAAGGTAACTAAATGGGTTAAGGGTAGGTTCAGGGTTAGTACCTAGTTATTACCCAGTTATTGTAATTACTATAATTAAGTATGTACATGGGGAACAGGACTGTAAAATGAAGTGCTACCAAAATAATTTGTTAGCATTAACAAAAGACTTGTCCACTGCCATGTTTCACATCGACACATCCCTTCAATTTAGCAACTCGGGACTCCTCTAGTCTAGAATACTGAATTTCCCTACATGTAATTACGACTTTAATGTGCTTGGATCTAGTAGGCTATATACCACATTTCCGACTATTTGACTAAGTTGGAATCTTTGCTCAAAAATCTGTGTAGTAATGAGCACACTTAGAAAGTACCAATTGCAAAACTAAAAAGCATTCAGATTTAGATTTTACATAATATTTTCCTTCAAGAAAATGCAGCTTTTATTCCGTCTTTAATTTTCTTCTGTAGTGGACAGCAGGCCTTCAAAATCCTATTTTCAAAGTCCAACTTCAACAGGATCAGCGTTTTATGGTCAACATAATCATGTCCTTTGTGTTCAGATAAGATGTCGCAACTTCTAAGGGAGAACAGTGGGGTTAACATTAACACAGCCAATCACAACAACTGTATTTCTGTCAGGACCACTATCGTCAAATACGATTGACAATTAGCATATAGTTAGGATTGGCGGTATGGTTCTGTTCTGGGCAAGAACTCCCTGAGCATCCATGCAGCCTAGCATAGATAAGAACAGGGAGAGCAGCAATAACCCGCCTTAGGGTAAACAGAACAGAATCAACATGAATGTATTGCAGATATAATTAATTAATAAAGATTTTAATGTACAACATAATTCGAGAATTTATTCTGATTCAAAGGACAATCAGAACGCCAAATCCGGACTGGACAAGAGGAGGAGCTGGGGATGGAGGAGGGTAATCAACTCCTGAGAAGCACAACAGCTGCTGATAATACTGAAGGAGCTTATACACTCACCTAAAGGATTATTAGGAACACCATACTAACACTGTGTTTGACCCCCTTTCGCCTTCAGAACTGCCTTAATTCTACGTGGCATTGATTCAACAAGGTGCTGAAAGCATTCTTTAGAAATGTTGGCCCATATTGATAGGATAGCATCTTGCAGTTGATGGAGATTTGTGGGATGCACATCCAGGGCACGAAGCTCCCGTTCCACCACATCCCAAAGATGCTCTATTGGGTTGAGATCTGGTGACTGTGGGGGCCATTTTAGTACAGTGAACTCATTGTCATGTTCAAGAAACTAATTTGAAATGATTCAAGCTTTGTGATATGGTGCATTATTCTGCTGGAAGTAGCCATCAGAGGATGGGTACATGGTGGCCATAAAGGGATGGACATGGTCAGAAACAATGCTCAGGTAGGCCGTGGCATTTAAACGATGCTCAATTGGCACTAAGGGGCCTAAAGTGTGCCAAGAAAACATCCCCCACACCATTACACCACCACCACCAGCCTGCACAGTGGTAACAAGGCATGATGGATCCATGTCCTCATTCTGTTTACGCCAAATTCTGACTCTACCATCTGAATGTCTCAACAGAAATCGAGACTCATCAGACCAGGCAACATTTTTCCAGTCTTCAACTGTCCAATTTTGGTGAGCTCTTGCAAATTGTAGCCTCTTTTTCCTATTTGTAGTTGAGATGAGTGGTACCCGGTGGGGTCTTCTGCTGTTGTAGCCCATCCGCCTCAAGGTTGTGCGTGTTGGGGCTTCACAAATGCTTTGCTGCATACCTCGGTTGTAACGAGTGGTTATTTCAGTCAAAGTTGCTCTTCTATCAGCTTGAATCAGTAGGCCCATTCTCCTCTGACCTCTGGCATCAACAAGGCATTTTCGCCCACAGGACTGCCGCATACTGGATGTTTTTCCCTTTTAACACCATTCTTTGTAAACCCTAGAAATGGTTGTGCGTGAAAATCCCAGTAACTGAGCAGATTGTGAAATACTCAGACTGGCCCGTCTGGCACCAACAACCATGCCACGCTCAAAATTGCTTAAATCACCTTTCTTTCCCATTCTGACATTCAGTTTGGAGTTCAGGAGATGGTCTTGACCAGGACCACACCCCTAAATGCATTGAAGCAACTGCCATGTGATTGGTTGATTAGATAATTGCATTAATGAGAAATTGAACAGGTGTTCCTAATAATCCTTTAGGTGAGTGTATGTATGTGATATTCCTATAGGTAGACGTGGATCAGCTGAGAGTCAGCTGATGCGAGCTTGACTAACGTGACCTGCCAGAACTGACGCTACGCTTAATTTTTCTCCCTCGTTCATTCCTACTGTAAGTGTGAACAATTGTTAATTCCGTAGGACTCCCAGGATACACAAGTATCTAACTTGCCTACCCATTTGTCTAACTCAAGAGAATAGCCTCAAAGATACGACAGATCTTCACATACATGCATTACACAAAATGGAGCACATCATTTCTATTTCCATTCACAGACAACACAATGTATACAAATGTACCAAATAAACCAGGAGTGTCCAATCCCACTGCTGGAGGGCCAACATACTGTAGAGATTGAATTCAACCTTTCCCAACACACTTGCCTAGAAGTTAAGTAGTTCGGAATTCTGATGTGTGATTAGAATGGAAGCTAAAATCTGCAGGATAGTATCCCTCCAGGAACAGGATTGGACATCCTTGTATTAAGGTATTCATGAATTCATGGGGAAAAGTTCAACATTGTTTGAATCTATGTCAGTACAATACCTTGGATAATCTGGAAGTCCATTCATCCATTCTCTAAACCACTTGCCCAATGTAGAGTTGCAGGGTTGCTGGAACCTACCCCAGTAAAGGAAGGAAAACACCCAGGACAGATGGCCAGTCCATCACAGGGTGAACACCCACATACATAGTCACACCTACTGACAATTTAGATTCTCACCTACACTGCATGTCTTTGGATTGTGGGGAAAATCAGAGCACCCGGAGGTGCCAAATCCCTCACCAAATCTCTCTGAGAGTTCTGAAACAAGAAAATGTTGACAGTTCAAAATTCTGAAAGAGAGGATTTTGGGGGAGTTGGGAAAAGTAACAAATATCACAACAAGCTTGCAAGTCTGGGCTCTGGCTGGGCCACTCATAGACATTCACAGGGTTGTCCCAAAGTCAATTGTGCATTGTCTTAGCTGTGTGCTTAGGGTCATTGTCCAGTTAGAAGGTGAACATTTAGCCCAACCTTTGGTCCTGATTACTCTAGACCAGGTTTTCATTAAGGATATCTCTATATTTAGCTTTCTTTCTACCATGAGCAGTCCCCTAGTCCCTTCCTCTGAAACCTTCCTTGGTTGTTTTTCCCATCTCCATGTATGATCTCTGGAGCTCAACCACAGTGACCATCAAGTTCTTGGTCACATATCCTTTTAAGGAAATTCTTCTCCTATTGCTCAGTTAACCAGATGGCCAGCTCTAGGAAGTCTCTTGCTTGTAACCCCATGGGGCACAAAAATAGTTGTTGTTTCAAAAAGTGTTTATGCTGCCCTAAAATTGTAAGTTTAGTTAACTTGATATGTGAAGTTGTACAAAGTGACAACTAAACTAACATATTAGGCAGCATGAACACTTACTTTTTAAGTTGAAACATCCATTTGTTTTGCAGTGATTTAAGATGCACAGAGGCTACTTTGCTTTTAGGATCCTTTAATGTAGCATTTTGGCAGCCTTACGGTCTAACAGCAGAAAATAGATATCAAAGTGAAAACCAATCCATGAGGTCGAATGGAACAACCTGTATAGTTTTAGGGAAGATCTATGATCTTGGAAAGGCTACCAAAATTTATTTGAAAGCATGCCTGATTAATTATTACTTGCACTCAATGATCATGTTTCAGTCAGAATCTTTTCTGCTGATCAACATTATGATCTGTGATACACATTGTGTGTTTGGGGGCAAGGCCAAACTTATTAAATAGTAATTTATTAATTTCTCAGATCTCATCATTGAATGTCAAATTACAGAGATTAACAGATACATGATACAATAAGGTTTTACAACATTTTTACAAGTGTGGTCACTTTGTCATCAGCAAAATAACAATAAAATAAATAAAATAAAAAGCAATAAAAATCCTTAATTTTCATCTTCATGCAATATCACTCTGATTTATCAACCTTCCCTAAACATATCAGACAGCTTCCAAACCTCAGCTGTTAACCGACCAAGTGAAGCCAAAAATATTTCTCTCTCGAAAATGTAAAACAGCATCAGTGTCAATGACATGGTAAATTATGATATCATAAAGTCAAGAGGGATATAAATGAATCAAATGTTTTACATATATTTCTAACATATTTTGTGATGGTATTAATATAGAACTTTCTATGAAGGTTAAAAATAAAGATACAATTATTATTGAAAATTAATAAAAAATAAAATAAAGACATCCTTCTTTTTTCACAAGACCACTATTTAACAACAAAAAAAAAGAAATAGTGTAAAAATTGCCACAAGATATTCCTTTGTAAAACCCTCACTATCAAAGACTACAGCAGTTCTTTCTGACAGTATAAAAAGAATGTCCAACATTTGCTTTTGAAATAGCAGCTTGATAGAACTGAACAGTAAGCAATATGACCGTGACAATGACTGTTTAGACATTAAAGTGACAGATTATGTGAAAACTAATTTCCCCACCAATACGCTTGAAATTCAAAGGTCCTTTACTTAAATAAACGGGAATCAATGGAGCGTGAAAGATAGTTAATGATGTTCTGCGCGTACAATTGTAAGGCTCTTATGTACACAACATTTTTATTTTTTTTCAATGCCAATGCCAAACAGTAAACTAATGGAATGATGAATATTATTTCTAAAAGTAAATTGCTGAAAATGTTTTTCTTACACAGCCAATGCTAAAGTTTCACACAGCATAAACTCAAAGCCCTTTCACATGACTCTTGTCGGCATTCTCTAATTGAAACATCAAGTATGCAGCATCATACTGGTCTTGTGTTGTGCAAAAGTCATACTTTTTAATTTGCTCAACGTTCAAAACTTTTAAAGCCGTTTTCTCCTGACATTTTAAAATGTTGTTTATGGTTACTGAACAATTTGCAAGTTATATCATTGTGTGGGTGGTTTAGGTGTACTAGATACATAGAGCACAACACAATGCCAAAGGCTGTTCCTTGCTGAAAAAAAAAACAACATTTAATGTTATTTTGAACTTGAAGCAAGTATGCTGATGCCCTCAACCAAACTTCCTCGGCCAACCAGCTTTACCAGAAAGACTATGCTGGTTGATAACGTTCACCAGCTAAGACTTTCCGGTGAACCTTTTGGCAATTATGCCAAATAATTAATAATTACCTTTGGCTTTTATGATCCAGACTAGCACCAAACCTGAAAATGAATGATAGTTTAAGCTCATCTTCTCAAGTAACTGACAGGTCTTTCATATTCTAAGCTTAAATAAATTAACATATTTGCTTCCACTATGTTGACTTGTAATGTTGAAGTCCCTGACATGAGTCCTGTGAAAGATCCTTCACTAACTGGTCCTTGACCAATTGCTACATGTTTCTATTCCAACACCATAGCAACAGGTTTTCTCATTGCAAAAAGCCAACAACGCTCATCAGTTTCACACACACTAGCCATTAGAGATTTCTGTAATTCGTTATGTTTCATGATAGATGAAAACTCCTGCATTTAAAAGCCAACCAAGTCCAAGAGTGAACAAAATGATACATAATGAATGGGGGCAGTTTGCTTTCTGAAGCACACCCATTAATAATTTACATGACCACCAAATAATAAATTAACAAATGAATAAATAAACAAGCAGGCAAGCAAACATCAACAAACCCGTTTTATTTTTTTCTCCCCCATTATGGAAAAATATCACTGATATAATATAGTCTTTTTCACAGAATTAGTCCTTGTGAGGGCTTAATCAGTTTAGTTTTTTTCGCCTCTCAAATGTGGCTTTCAGAAACTCAACAGTCTTGTTTCTTTATCCAATCGATATTCTGTTTCAATAACTGATGCTTAGGGAAAGTTTTCTCTGAGTTTCCAGTGCAGAACCTTTCCTAGTTACATACTCATTGCTGAAAAGCACAAAGGGAAAGCACAAAGGGGCTTGGCAGAGGTGGACGTAGATTGACAGCACAGTGTTTTGCAAAGTGGGCACTGAAAGAGAGCGTGCACGGTTACAGCACAGTGGCGTTGTGTCCTTCCATTTTCGGGAGTCTGGAGTCCTGCACTGTACCCATGGTGACCAAAAGCGGGCGGCTGTCCTCGGGTCCACTGGCCCGAGCCAAAGAGATGGGCCTCTGCTGGCCAGGATGAGGCGGGGGAGGCTGGGGCCCCGGCATAGGCTCCATGGGCAGGCCCTGTTCCTGGTAGCCATACCCGATGTTCCCACATGGGAAGCGGCGTAGTCTGTAGAGCGGAACTGGCGCTAGGGTGGCCGAATCCAGGAGTAAAGGGGTCGAGGCAGGTGGAGGAGGAGGGGGCAAAAGCGGTCGACACAGGCCTTGTTGTTGTTGTTGCAGTTGCTGCTGTTGTTGGCGCTGGAGCTGCTGCTGGTACTGCTGCTGTTTGTGCTGTTGCTGCAGGCCCAAAGCTTCAGCTACTGTCACAGTCCGGCCTGCTTGTTCCTGCCCTTCACCTGGGATCCGTGGGCCACTCACCTGCCTTTGTGCCTGGGCCTGCTGCCTCTTCTGCTGCTGCTGTAGAAACCACGAGCCATAGGTAGGGTTCCACAGGTTGGTGGGCTTCCCGTTACGGCTCTCCTTCTCCAATGGGTGGGCCTGCATGAAGCCCAAATTCACATGTCCTCCATCCTGGGTGTTCAGGGGGGCTGTAGAGGAGGGTTTGGCGGCTGGTATGGGGGCAGTGACTACAGGGGGTTGGAGGTGGTGGTGGTGGGGATGAGGCTGAGATGGGGGAGCGGGCGGTAGTTTGTTGTCAGAAGATTGGCTGGCCATGAGAATGACCTCCCCATCTCTCTTAGCCTGATCGGAATGGGCGACACATGGAGCATCCTCGGTGCCTTGAGGGGTTACAAGCAAGGAGGGTGCAGAAGGGTCTTCGGGACGCATGGGTACCCTCTCCTCTTCCTCAGGGATGGGGCCGTACTCGACAGGCAAAGGCACATTCACCACATCTGGATCCTAGGGGAATTGAAAAGTCTGTTATCTACCCAAGGATTCAAACTTGCCAGTTTGACAGGTGATAAAAATAGTTGGTAAGATCAAGGTTTTAATGATTTAATTAATTAAATTAAAAATGTGTCACTGAAAAGATAATTAATATTGTACCTTAAATTAAATTAGACAAGATTACATTTTGACAAAGATTGTTCCATACAATGTGCTCTGCTTTATACTGTATACTTTGGCAAATTCCATGCATAATGTGCACAGTTTACACAATGCATATTACAATATTGGAAATGGTACTAGTATGGCGAATTTCTAACAAACCTACTGTTGCATGGCATGAACAGACAAAGTTGTCAGATGTCGTACCTGTAGACAATAGTCAATCCTCTCCAGAATAGTTGAGAAGTTTGGTCTGTCTTCTGGTTGATGCTGCCAACTCTGTGTCATTATCCGGTACCTATTTTGCAAACAAAATAATATTTGTATTTTCTTCCTTTCTGTTCTATCTACACTAGATATCACTTCATCTATGTCGAGATTGGATGAGTATAGGTTTTTATTATTTTCAGATATAAAATAAGCCTTTTTTAGTTTTGTTTCAAAGATCAGCTCTGCAAGATCAAGGCAGATTAGAAACTCCAGCTAGGAAGGTGTAATTATTATTTGATTAGTATATTTTCAGAGACAGAAAAGATAAAGCAGTGGGAAAGTAAACGACGACTGACAAATTGAGAAATAGAATGCATATGCATCAGACAATGACGGATTCCTGATATTTAAGAAAACAGTGGCCAACATTTAATGCAATCTATTTCTGTTATATGGAGCGCTGCATAGATATCCTGCATTTTTGAGTCCACTCACACTGGCCCAGGGCAGTTCTTGGGCGGGTCCATTCTCCCTCCATTAGTAACAAACTCCAACACCTCTTGGTTACTGCGGCTCGGGTACGGCATGTATCCCAGCGAGAAGATCTCCCACAGGAGAACACCAAATGACCTGAAAAACAAGACAAAAGGAGGGAAAGTGAACGACAGGGTGAGACGAAATCATAGTAATTACGGGAAAATAGTGTGAAAACCAGTGGGGTTGCATATGATAGAACTTGAATCAAGTATGTAATTATATTACAGCACTCACCATGTATCTGTTTTCGAGGTAAAGATTCCCTCCATAAAAGCCTCAGGAGGCATCCATTTGACTGGCAGCATAGCACGGCCTCCTTTCCTGTAATAGCTGGCTCTGTGGAAAAACACATGCCCAGACAAAAAAAGAGAGACATTGTTATGAATGCCCAGAGCAGACAGAAACAGAGTGGAGTGACTTATTAACTCCAGTCGCAGATCAGAGAGTGAAAAAGCACGGGAAAATGAAAAGCGCAGAAATTGCATGGAAAGACATAAAGGGAGAAACTGTGCGACTTATGCAAGGATGGAATTCATCAACCATGTTCTCTGAAGTCTTGATCTGATCCTTAGTCACTAAATGATTAATTGTGTTTTTTTGTTAAAAGAAAAAAAAGCAGTATTCTACAATAATTACTGTTCATTTAAACTGGGAGTGTATTGCTTGAATAACCTACTTGTTCTCCTCCACCAGGCCAGAATTGGTGTTAAAAAGACAACTTTAATGAAACGGATTATGGGAAGTGACTGACCTAGTGCATTTGAGATGCCTTGCTTAATTTGCATGTTTTCCTCATGACATAAAATATGCAGATGTTCCAGACAAGCAAAGTAAATTAGCTAAATGTTGAGTCTACACCCAGCCACTAGATCTGTCTGTCTTGGGTCCTTACCATCAACCCTTCTGATTTTAGAGTGGTAAGTTAGGGTTAGGATTCATGGAAAGTGACTGACCTAGTTCATTTGAGATGTCTTGCACTCTAAAAATCAGAAAGACCAACATTTGATTTTCCATCGGATTCTGACTTTTTTTTTTTTTAGGTCAAGGAACATGAATGAACATGAATTCAGAAAATCACAATCCAATTCACCCACGACGCAGAGAAGGGGGAAAAAAACGGGGCAAGTGTGGTGGAGGTTCGAGATCGATATTATACCCGCAAGAGAAGCCAGATGAGGACTTGATCTTCAATTTGACAAAGTTTTGACGAAAGAAGAAGAATATATCTTGAATAAGGGTCTCTCGTTTGTTCCTACCAATCTATTTCAAACAAAGTTTCGTCAAATTAAATTGAAATATGTTTGTCACAAAGAAAGGACTTCACTATCACTTATGAAGAATCTAATGAGTTGCCAAGATATAAGAGTGATGTATTTAAAATTACTTTTGTCCTTCTGTGATGAAAAATTTGGCAGTGGATTTAAAGCTCATAGAATGCTTTGCACGGGATTGGAAAAGGAGAATAAATATTTAAATGAATTTGCGTTTTTGATGCATTTTTTTTTAGGAAAGGGAAAGGTATGTATGTGTTTAATGCTGTTACTTTTGACATTTAGGTTGAGGTTGAGTACATTACGGTATTATTACATTGAGTAATGACTGTGCAAATGCTAGTGATAAATATTATCTTACTCGTTCATTCAATTTACATGTTAAACAAGATACATTTAGCATATGCTCTGCTAGCTAAACTCAGATAGTTAAGATTAATTGTTTCCACTGAATTATGCTGAAATGAAATTAGTTGGAACAAGTCAATTTTTTTTTCTATTTGAGTAATCAGTTTAAACTTTTGTGTTTATGCTACAAATTATAACATTCCTCTAAAGCAGTAGTTTGTTGGTTGAACAAAATGTCATTAGAAGTTGCATAACTCAAACTTTTGTTGTTGTTGTTATTGAACCAATAACAGAACGGTGTATTTTATTTTATGATTAAATCTGCAAAGTAAATTAACTTCCAGACAGTGTATATGTCTGTAGGTCCTGAACATCAAACGTTCTGATTTCAGAAGGGTAAGTTAGGGTTAGGAAAGATAGGGTTAGGGTTTATGGAAAGTGACTGACTAGTTCATTTGAGATGCCTCACTTAATTCACATGTTTTACTCATAAAATATGCAGACGTTCTGGACAAACAACGTAGAAGAAATAAATGTTGAATCGATTATCAAAATATTAGATCTGTCTGTCTTGAATCCTTACCGTTAAACTCTCTGATCTTAAGTGGGGTAAATTAGGGTTAGAGTTAGACCTAGTTCATTCGAGATGTCTTGCTTAATTTGTTTGTTTTCTTCTACGGTACAATGGTTTAATTGTACATGCAAATGTTATGGACTAGTTAAGTACATTTCCTGAGATGATTCAAATGAATCAAGACAATTGTTTTCCTATTCCTACTAAAGTGAATCCAGTAGCCATAAAGCAGTTGAAGGTTGAATCTAGCCAGTAAATACAAGTAGGACAAGTTCCTACGACAACATCCTAGTGGGTCCTGGAACAATATTCTTATAAATCAGATTTTAGGGTTAAGCTTGGGGCATTATAGAACAGCGATATTAGGTAAGCTCAGTGTTAGGCCTATGATACAATTGTTGGTCCGGAACCAAAATAGGATGTTGATCCAGTAACATGTTCTATTAGAGTAAATCATGTCAAGCCCACTAATACCAGGACTGCACCTTAACAGGACTCACACATGTAAGACATATTTAAATTCGGATGCAATGTGCCAAATCTAGTTTAATGGCACGATGCAGCGAATATGACCCAACAAAAAATCTGCACTGTGCTTTAGACAGCATATGTGAGATACTTCATTTGCCTTCATTTACAAGGTAAAGTAATAGCAGTAACATCATTGCATTTTCATACATTTATGCATTTGGTAAACACATTTATCCAAAGCGACATACACAAGAGTTAAGGTGATGTTAAACATTTTTTGAAATTTTTTGAAATTCAAAAAGCATAAACAGATTTTAGCTGCTAAAATATTCAACATCCTGTCTGCAATTTTTTATGAGATCAATCTTTCCCGAAGCAGATCCTGATCCAAACTGTGCCATGCATGAAAATAACTTTTTAAATCTCCATAACTGTTATAACACTGTTATATTAAATTCTGTCATCCATTATTCTTGTTATTCCAAACCTGTTTGACTTAATTACTATGGTGGAACAAAAAAAAGAGATATTTTGAAAGATCTCTCATTTTTATTGTTGTTTCCCATACAACGAAAAGCCGAGGGGTTCAGTTTTGTTTGGACCCCAGTGTTTCTCAAAAAAAAGTTTTTTGTTTTTTTGTGTGTGTGTTCCGAATTGCATAGAGGTTTGAAATTAAACGAGTGGGTAAATTGTGGCATAATTTTATTTTTTGGGTGAACTATCCCTTTAAGTTTTTTTTTTGTGCAACTTGGCACATATTATCACTGACACTCCGTAACAACAACGATCTACTATAAAAACCACCTCAAACAATCCTGGCAAACTCCCAGAACCCCCTAATACTGTGTAGGTGAGTTCTGCCCAAGCAATCCCACACATTTATTATATATATATATATATATATATATATATATATATATATATATATATAAGTTTTACTGAATGCCATATCTGAATGTCTTATCTGAGAGACTTTCTTCACATTTCTCATGGTGCGATCATTGTGAGTCTGAAACCATTTTCCTCACCCAGAGCTGATGTTATCAAGATCTAGTTGCAATATCTGACCCTCTGCTGACAACAGTAAAAAATAAATAAAGTGAGAGAGAAAGAAAAAAGAGAGACAAATAGGTCTTGTTTTTTTTTTGCCAACAGCTATCCTGAGGTTGCTAAAGCAATAATCTTGGGAGAGTATTATGCTGAGCATTTATCACAAAAAGAAAATGAGAGACTGAGGCTGAAAAGATAAACTGCAGACTGTCTCCTATACAAAAGCATTGGCACTTTTGACAAAATCTTGATGATGCTGGTCTTATCGGGCTCTGGTTCTATATAAAGTAGTGTGTGGCCTTCTGGGATTGTGGCAGCGAGGCCTGTTCCACCTCCCGCATGAAAACACACCTCACACACTAACATTACACTCATGTTTTCCAGCAATTTCACTCATGCGGACGGACCTCGCATGCCAGGACTCGAGGGAAACCAACAATGAAACCCTTTGAAGTAGGAAATCGAAGAAGATCACAGAGAACCTTTGTGCTGCCACTGACTATCTGCTCCCTTGTGGGATGGTGTGCTGACACAGTCGAGGAGATGGAGGGGAAATATGAGGCAGGGGAGGCAGTTTGAGATGTTACAGACACTAAGTTATAAACTCAATTTATGAGATAAACCGAAAATATACATGTACTCCTCACCATATTCGTATTTCGAATGTCAGGTTTTTTTTTTAAAAGTGTGTACGAACATTCTGTAGATACTTCCCTCCTAAATAGTAGGTGAAAAAAGACAGTATGTGAAAAGTGGAGTATGTCCAAATGTACAGTATTCATAAAACAGTAGGCTACTTGACCTGCTACCTTAGGCTAGAGTCTGAAGTGTGGATCCAATATACAATTTATTATCCCATGAGGCCACAGGAGAAGTCACATAATAATGATCTTTATCGGACTTGGTTTTGAGAATGGTCTTAAAGGGATACTCCACTTTTTTTGGAAATAGGCTCATTTTACAACTCCCCCAGAGTTAAACTGTTGAGTTTTACCGTTTTCGAATCCATTCAGCCGATCTCCGGGTCTGACGGTACCACTTTTAGCATAGCTTAGGATAGATCATTGAAGTGGACAAGACCATTAGCATCTCTCTCAAAAAAATGACTAAAGAGTTTCGATATTTTTCCTATTTAAAACTTGACTCTTCTGTAGTTACATCGTGCACTAAGACCGACGGAAAATGTAAAGTTGCGATTTTCTAGGCTGATATGGCTAGGAACTATTCTCTCATTCCTGCGTAATAATCAAGAAACTTTGCTGCCGTACCATGAGAGCAGCAGGCGTAATGATATTATGCAGCGCAAACACAAACTTATATGGTCACACAGGAAGTAACCTAGCTGGGGACTATTTTCAGGCACTGCGTTATATCATTACGCCTGCTGCTCTCATGGTACGGCAGTAAAGTTTCTTGATTATTACGCAGGAATGAGAGTATAGTTCCTAGCCAAATCAGCCTAGAAAATCGCAACTTTACATTTTCCGTCGGTCTTAGTGCACGATGTAATTACAGAAGAGTCAAGTTTTAAATAGGAAAAATATTGAAACTCTTTAGTCATTTTTTTGAGAGAGATGCTAATGGTCTTGTCCACTTCAATTATCTATGCTAAGCTATGCTAAAAGTGGTACCGTCAGACCCGGAGATCGGCTGAATGGATTCGAAAACGGTAAAACTCAACAGTTTAACTCTGGGGGAGTTGTAAAATGAGCCTATTTCCCAAAAAAGTGGAGTATCCCTTTAAGACCATTTTTTTTTAAAGTCTTGGTCTTGTCTCTGTCTCGACAGCATTTGTACTCGGTCTCAGACTAAAGGCTCGTACACACCGGGACGAATATCGGCGCGCGTTATTCGCCAGCGTTTTTCAACGCGTGTTTTGTGTTTACACCCAAGCGATTTTCGCTGACGATGAGCCGAGTGAACATGCAAATTCATTCCCTGACATTAGATGGCGCCCATTTGCTCTGCAATACATTCTCTTTTATTAAGATTTAGATGTAGTCGCTGTCGCATTTGTCATATAGTTCTTTATGTTCCGACAGCAACGAGACCAGCAGCTCTACATTCATCTTGCCTTGCATCTTCCTCGTCTTATTTCTTCCCGGCAGTGTAGACGCTACTTGGCGTATATCTTCTTCGCCGTTACGTATATGTGCTCGGCAAGACCGTTTTGTGTTTGAGCGCCCCCAAGTTGTGTTTTACTGTAACTTCAGAAGCTCCAGACACGTGAGCAAAAGCGCCAATCTCATTGGTCGGATAGTTTTTGACGCGGTGCGTCAAAATAAAAAAACCAACCCGAGGCGTTTTAAAAAAAAATGACGCTTTTACGCGTGGCGTTTTTCGTGTCGGTGTGCACACTCGCATTGGCGCCCTTTGTTTAGTCACGAGGCGTTAAACGTCGGTCCCGGTGTGAACAGGCCTTAAGAGGACTCGGGATTTTGTCCAGTCAAGACCAAAACTACAAGGATAACACTAAATTGCTGGTGCATTGTCAGATTTATTTGTTTACATCATTATTGTGATTTGATGTAAAACGTACAGCTTAAAATGCAATCTATAACAGTCAGTCCGGGCAGGTCACGTTAGTCAAGCTCGCATCAGCTGACTCTCAGCTGATCCACGTCTACCTAAAGGAATACGACACCTATCACTGTATACATATATAAGCTCCTTCAGTATTATCAACAGCTATCACGTTTTTTTAGGAGCTAATAACCCTCCTCAATCCCCAGCTCCTCCTCTCGTCCAGTCAGGATGTGGCATTCTGATTCCCCTTGAATCAGAATAAATTCTCGAATTATGTTGTACTTTAAAATATTGACATTAATGATATCTGCAATAAATTGATTTTGGTTCTGTTCTGTTTACCCTAAGGGAGTTCTTAAGGGAGTTCCTAGAACAGAACCATACCGCCAATCCAAACTATATGCTAATCGTCAATCGTATTTGACGATAGTGGTCCTGACAGAATTAAGATTTCTTTTGTTACTGTTGGTTCGGGTTCAAAATGCTACTCCGAGCAATGTCGTAACTTTGTATTTTGAGCACTTCTTGCGTTGTTTTTGCCTCTTCACGATGACTCGCTTGGTTTAGTCCTCAGTTGTAAGTCGCTTTGGATAAAAGCGTCTGCTAAATGACTAAATGTAAAATCAATGCAGGATTGTCTCAACAAAGTAAATTGCCCAAAATTCATACAAATGGTCACAAATTTTTCATACAAATCTCGGTTTAGTTGGTCTTGACTACAACACTAATTCATACTACACACATTCATACTATATTGAACATATTTTTTTAATGGTTGAGGAGTAGTTACTGGTTCAAAAGAAGGGCATACTCAGAGAGCAAGGAGCCTATTCATTTATGAAACTGAGGAAGAAAGTGATAACAGGAAGTCGGATGTGCAAAACATACATATTTAACAATTGACTAAGTGCATTTAGACCTCCAATAAAATCTCTAAACAAGCACAGGTTTTTTTTTGTTGTTTTTTTTGTGTTGACATACTTCATATTGAAACAAGAAGTTTGGGATGGGACATATCAAAGAGCTCAGCCCTTCATTGAAAATAAGCCAATAGCTTTTTATAACATTTTTATGTACAGCATTCAGTTACCCTGATTTGCTACTTGGTTGGTTCCAAGTTGTGTTGGGGAGGGATTTTCTCATTCTAGAGAGCATTTGACTGGGCAAAAATATTTGTAGAGCAATATTTTTGGTCATCAATATTTTCAAACTTCCTGGAAGAAAAAAAACATTTTCAAATGTGAATACCCTATGCTGCATTTCAACATTTACATGTACACCAGCATATGACTTAAGGACTAAATGCAAAACAAATAAATAATAATAATAATTCTCATTTTGGTCTTAAAGGAAGGGCTGTATAATAAGGATGATTTAGGATCAAGGTTTTTCAGGGGATTTACAGGATGCTCTTTTATTTAAAAACAGCAAGATAGAACAGAATACAACACAAAGAGATTTCGACAAGAATTCAATAATTCAACAAATAAATACACTTCATATCAACATCCTTTTGTCCTCACAAATCAATGGATTGTGCTTAAAAACGGGAAGAGGTTTGGACTCCAGCAATGACTGCCTTATAGTTGGATGTAATGAAAGCTGTGTTTTGATGGACTTAGTGGCGTTTGATTTTTGAGCTTTTATATTTTTAAGCATGGTGCTTTAAAGAGGATCAATTTAGAGATGCAGCTTGTCAGAAAGAGTTTTAGTACGCTAACAGTCTTACTGTTTGCTGTCAACACGCTAAATCCCCCTCAAAGACTGTGCATCTCTAAATGCATCCTCTTTAAAGCACTATACTAAAAATATTGAGCAGAAAACACTATATAAACTAGTCAACTTCCCTAATTGGCTTTTGGACGACCATAGCGACAATGAAAGGTTGAGGACAATTTGAAGTAACCTCTAAATGTGAATTAAATTGATCACATCTCAGCATTCTCATCTCTCAGAAGATGAGATGAAATATTCACGCTAACCGCCACTGTAATTCTCCTCATCCCCAATCGCATTTTCCTCACAGCTCTGAACTCCTGTCCTGTCTGCAGAACTCAGCGGGAAAATGCAAGAAAAATCTACATCAGCAATTAGAGCACGCTTTTATGGCAACGCTCCGGAGGGAGTAAAACAAGGATCCGTCTTTTCCCTTCAGCTTTTCTCTGGCTAATAATACCCTTCTTTCACCAGCTAAGTGAGCCATTTTCAGGCACACGTTCCAGTAGCGCATGAGAGGCAGTCAAGCTCACAACTCCTTTCATTTCATCACAGCGGTGCTGCCATCTCATCTGACGAATAATGTCAAAGGACGATTCACACTACTGCCAAATTGTGTATCTCTCTAAAGACAGTATCTGAAAATATAGCTTATGAAGACATGGAGATTGTTAGATTCTTGCTTCACTGTCTTCGGATTTGTAAAACTCTAATATAAAATTGTATGCATGTAAGTATATATGTATTGATTGAATGATTGAAGGGACATCACTGTTGATCTGAACTGAACATAGCAGTCATTGTGCATTTTTGCATTAAGGAAAAGAGTGGCCGGATCATTTCCATGATGACCAACGCAATCTACCAAGAGCAACGCAAATTAGCGTCTGGTTTAAGACGTGCTTTTTTTTGGGGCGGTAAATAACGACACAAAAAGCTGAAGCCACAAGTCTGCTCATGCTTCATTTCAAACCTGAGGATGTTATCTCTAAAACTATGATTATTATGAAACATTTTATAAGACCATGTCATGTGAGTTTTTAGAGAAGGCTGATGAAATGCTAATATTTGATTGCCCTGTAAACACCCACTTGCACTCTATTGTCTCATGTCTGGTGTGGCGAACTGAATAGGAGTGCGTGTTTATTCTATTCAAAATATCATGTTACCGATCGATTATTTTGCACTCCTGACATAAATTAAGAAATGATCATGTATCTGAGAGTTTTATCATAAACAGTGGTCAAATTTCGAAGCTGGAGTCTTAAATCTTTCTCATGATGCTTGGTTTGTCCAGATCATGTAAGAGTGTGATGTTTTAACGTGAGGTAAATGTTGAACAACAATAATCTGGGGTCGCCGGCAATGCGCAATGTTAAATCAAATGATCAGTTCTCCATCAGTTTGAATGACGCTTCTGAATGTAATGACATTTACAAATAGGCTAGAAATGTGAAAGTGATTAAGTTCACTTCATGTCTGTATATGTTCCAAAAAAGTTGTAATATTCTCTATAAAACATTACATCCCCATTTATTTTCCTTCTGATGTTTAATCTTTATGAATATTTTAATAATGACTAGCTTCCTGAATTCATTTATATATACATATATATATATATAAATAATGTAAACAATGCACATTATGCATAAATTAGCAAGTAATGTCCAATTATAATCAGACAATTAAAATGTTCCGGCAGTAAAATGTAAAGTGTTATGGCAGTATGTTACATCAAGCATAGCCATGAGAACATTTAACCAGTGTCGCTCCATGCTGGAAAACCTCTGTGTAAATAATAAGGAAATAGAAATCTACCCTTTGAATTAGCTGAGCTCTTACTAATTTAGTTTGCTTGACTCTTGCCTTAAAATGAGAAATATGTTGATAATAAAAGTTCGCAATTGGATTTTCAGAATGAGGTACGCTTTCATCTTTTCTCAGCTGAAATACCGTGGAGGAAATAAAACAAAGCCAGATTACAGTCCATCACATTTTACAGCCAATTGAATATAAACACAGATGCAAAATAGAACTGTCATGTTTTTTTTTTCCCAAATATGAGTCAGCCATCTCTATGTTCTGTGAACTATTGCTTGAATATTTAATTAATGAATTCATTATTCCAACCCCAATGTCAATATCAGGAGGATTTAAAGTGATTTATGACCTCATGATGCCATATAACATATGTACCATACCTGTAGATGTCTCTGGCCATGCCAAAGTCACCAATCTTAGCCACCCTCCCCGAACCTTTGCAGGTCAGAAGACAGTTCCTGGCAGCAATATCCCTGTTAGGAATACAAGACGGATTATTCTGACTGTCAAATTTAGCAGACACACACATTTACATCCAATATTTGCTCTATTTAAAATAGAATGATGATTAAAAATAAAATCTGTACCACCATAATTTATTCACAGAAATATTTTCACCAATAGCACTGCCAGCTCAAGATGTTTAGCACTGTTCATCAACAATATTGTGGACTAAAATTGTTTCCAGTATATTACACATTTTTGCAAATGTAGTATAGTTTTCTTAAACTATGGTACTTTTACCCATCTTTAATCTAATAATTCTAAATGCCCAATTATGTCTGTTGTCGGTAACACTTTACAATAAAGTTTCTTTTGTTAACATTAGTTAATGTATTAACTAACATGTAACATTTATTACCGTTTTTGTTCATCTTTGCTGACGTTAGTTAATACAAGTACAGCTGTTAATTCTTTGTTCATGTTAGTTCACAGTGCATAATTAATGTTAACAAATACAACCTTTGATTTTAATAACGTATTAGTAAATGTTGAAATTAACATTAACAAATATGAATACATTCTGTAGAAGTGCAGTTCATTATTAGTTCATTTTAAGCAATGTAGTTAAACTAATGTTTACTAATGAAACCTTATTGTAAAGTGTAACCATCACTGATATCCAGATTGTATTTTAAGAGTTAACTGCACCAATGCGAGATGCTGTCATACATAAGAGCATGTCTAATGAATGACTCCTCATCTTCACTGCTAGCAATGTAGCAAAGACAGAACACTCCAATTATAAGCAACAAAGCTGTCAACACTGCAAGTGTTTGAAACCACAGTTAAGCACAAACTCTGTCCGCATTAATGTGTCACTGGCAGTAGCCTATAGATAGACGTTTGTGAAGCTCAGAGCAACAACACATTCATTAACAGTGCTTGCCTTATTTTAGCATTTCTTTTTTTCTGACGTTACCTAGATACAGTAGGATGAATAAACTCCTGATAGTTGCATTATAGTTATAACGTCACTTAAGGTGTCAGATGAATCTTTCCTTCTATAACTGTGGAGAACCAGAAGTCTCACCTTGTCAGTCAAGAACAACCAAAGATTGTTGAACAAATACAAATTTGTGAGATATTAGTTGACTTCTACTCTTACTGTATTACCAACACAAGGCAGACTCAAATAGTAACAGGTTTTTTTTTACAAAAATATTATTTATTGAAAGAAAAAAAATATTATAGGTCTATTTGATTATTTATGAATATTATGTTCATTTAGATGTAATGATTTTCATTATCATTATTTCCCCTATTTATTTTGTTTTCTTCAATGTAAATACCAAAACAAGGACTGATTATACTGTAGTAAAGGATAGACTTTTAGAGACCATCCTCATTCTGGAAGAACTAACCATTTGTTGCATATGTATTAACTCTTTCCCCAACAGAGTAAAAAAAAAAAAAAGTTGTCAGCCACCACAAGCAAGTTTCATGGCCCCCCAAAATATTTTGTTGTATGAATATCTGAATATGCAATATATCAAAAGAAAGAACAGAATCTCTGCTTAAAAAAAAACGTTTTATTTTAGCTTCATGCATTCTTTTCTAACAACACTTGAATGTGGGTTTCATAAATAAATAAAAACATTTTGAGGAAAAAGTTGAGAAAATCGAATTTTTGTCAAAGACTACATCCAGATCAGTTCCAGTTTTGATTTATATGCTGTTTAATTTTGATGATCGCGTTATTTTATACATGCATCTGCTTACACATGCTATCGCTAGTCTCTGCTTCTTCTTCGCCTGTGTTTTGATCAGGAGATTCTGTACTCTTTCAGAAGATGTGTGATAGCGCCCCCTACTGTATAACAGTGAAAACACGGAAAGACGGAAATGTCTGTCAATGGCGGGGATTGACTATTCCAATCCTGCTTCTATTAATTTCTATCCTTTGTAAAGTTAAAAAAATGTGTTTTTCAAAGTATTTTAACTTACAGTACTCTTGGCATTCAATCAATCAACATAAATCAAATATTCCTTCCAAGTTTACATGCCTCAAAACCTCACATAAAAACAAAAACATAAGCAAAAACCTGTACTTGTTTTCAGGCTTCTTGTCTAAGTGAGTGGTTCATGGCCAAAAAAGCTACAAAGTGGTTATCAGTTATAAGGACAGTAAGAGGTCTTGATCTGCAAAACTATTCCCGTTTCTTTTTGAAGGTCGAGTCATGATAGTCATGTTTCCAATTACTTGTAGTACCATTTGAAGGCATTTTGTGTCGGACACCCTATATCGGACAGCCTTTTATGCTAAAAAAAATCCTCTGAAAGGGCAAAACGATCAATCCCTCTAGGCTTGGACCAAAAAGTTGAATTTGAAGGCCTAGATATATTTTAACTTGGCTGTTTAGTAGGAAACTGCAGATGGGTAAGTGTCTCAGTTTTATAGCTGGATTGATGACTGGACTGCTCATGTAGCATAAATGAGCTCTAAGTGGACTCATTTTTCATGCCATTCTGGATGCGAGTGTCAAAAAGAAGCAGGACTCCCATTGCAGGAACAAGAGGGAAGCAGAACTCCTGAACGGAGTCGAGGAGCGCTGCATTTGTGCTGACTTCAGAAAAAAGCAGATCATCCATCTGTTGTTAAATTGATCTGATGTGTGTGTAGGGGTGTTGGAAATGATACCTGTGGATGAACTGGTTCTCTTCTAAGTACTGGCAGCCGCGGGCGATGTCTCTGGCTATGTTGAGAAGATCTACCATGGTTAGACTGGAAGGGTGCTCCTGGGAAACAGTACAGGAATTCAGAATAATGGGTATTGTAATGTGCAGTTTTATGTCTGTTTACTTTCATTGCGTTTTTGGTTCTGTTTTCCCTGTTCTGGTTTGTCTGAGTTCCCTGTGCTTATTAGTTTCCATAGTTCCTATTTTAATTCACACACCTGTTCGGTTTTACCTTGATTTGCTCTCCCCATGTATTCAAGTCCTGCATTTCCTCAGTTCTGTGTTCGGTCTTGTTTGCGCTTATGTGTAGTGGTTTTGCTATTATATTACAATAATTATGATTTCATTGAGGCTAAAGTCATAGTTAATAGTTAGATAATAGTGAGAATTGGACACTAATCTAAAGTGTAACCGTAATTTCATAATTACTTCAATTGTCTTTGAAACAAGTGTCATTTCTATTGAAATTAATATGTCATGTATTTGTAATTGAACATTTGTAATGATGAAATCTCAATTTATTACATTTTAAAATATATTTACTTTTAGTGAAATATCAAATGACACTACAGTTATAATCGAGTACTTTAGATTACTTTTTGGTGCACTAAGGATGTGTTCATGGTTGGCATGTTTGGTTCGATTAAAACAGCAGATTGAACTTCCTATTTATCAAACAATCCTGGGGGGATATAAATATATATATATTTTTTCAGGATTGTTTGATAAATTGGAAGTTCAAAAGAACAGCATTTAATAGATAGATGAATTCGTACGAGTTGTCCAAACCCATGTGATGGGTAGGTTTAGGGGCGGGGTCAGGGGTAGGTCACTCATATGAATTCATACGAATTTGGTAACTCGTAAAAAAATTACGAATTAGCAAAAATCGTACGAATTTGTACGAGTGAGGTCGTATGAATTCGTACGAATTAGCCACCTTGTTAAATTTGCCGTGAGATCAGGTTGGTTTGTGTGATTGCTCTGTTAGTGTGGTTTATTTGAATAAGTGTGAACGCTGCCATGTAAACCCTTCTGCGCACCAAACCAGCGGACCGAGACTGCTAACAAGAAGGGTCCCGGTCCACTTCCAAACAAACTCTGGTGCGGTTCGAATGAAATATGAATGCAACACGGACCAAAAGCATGTAAACGAACCAAAAACAAGACATGATGTTACAACTAATAAAATAATCCAAAGGCAAACAATGCATTAACAAAATAATGAAAAGTAACTTAATGAGGTTTATGTAGGCAATATAATAACACTGCGAAGAGTCTGTGCTTGTATCTCTCTCTCTCTCTCTCTCTCTCTCTCTCTCTCTCTCTCTCTCTCTAGCCGCTTTTCTAGCCAAACGGTTCTAAGAATGGCAAGGATTCTAAATTCTACGAATTTAAGGGTTCCAGTTATATTTCCACTTGGTCCACTTTAGCATGATTATAAACCATTCTCGGCCTGGAATTCCTATCACAGTTGGCTGTTGCCTGGCAGTCAGTTTCTCTGTAGCTGGCCAAGTGTGCTATTTTAGCAAACTAAACACAATTTAATTATACAATTAAAATAAATATCTGATCATCCTCCATAACGCAATGGCTATTTACATCTCTTATCCGTCTGTAAACTCTAGCATTACAAAAGGCAACGACTGGCGCAATTTGTATTGCATTCTAGAAAGCTCTGTTGTCAGCGCCACAGGGGAAAATGAAACCATATCCGTACCGACTGGGCTGGATCGGCACGGAACGAACGGTTAAGCAACGAGAACGCTTTGGCCAGACAGTGGAAAAGTGGCTTCTGTGTGTGTGTGTGTTCTTACTAGTCTGGGTCTAGTTTCCCTCAGGAAGCTCTTGAGATCCCCTCCAGCCATCAGTTCCAGCAGAATGAAGCGAGGCAGAGCCTGGAGACTCACCCCGATACACCGCACAATGTTTTGGTGACTGAACTTGCTGTCAGAGGAAGAGAAAAAGAAATGTGGTCCTTTTGCTATTATGTCTTGATAAATTAGCATATGAAATGATGGATCTCGTGTGCTTATTTTTTACCTGATTATTAAAGCTTCCATTAAAAAGTCCAGTTCGTCCTGCTCAGAGCACACCTCAGGAAGAGTCTAATCAAAGAATCATCTGATCATCAAATCTACACACCATGAAATTATCCATCCATCCATCCATCCAATGCTGTTCTTTTGAACTTCCTATTCATCAAACAATCCTGGGGATATATATATATATATATATATATATATTATTTTTTTAGGATTGTTTGATAAATAGGAAGTTCAAAAGAACAGCATTTAATAGATAGATGTATCTTCAGTAGTAGAATGGTTTCAACATTTAGCACCAAATGATTTCTGAAGGATCATGTGTCGCTTAAAATATAATACAATTGAAAACAGCTATTTTAAATTGCAATAACAGTTTAGAGTATTACAGTTTTTACTGCATTTTTGATCAAATATGTGCAGCCTGGGTAAAATACTTCTTTCAAAAACATTAATAACTCTTACTAACCCTAAACTTTTGAACAGTAATGTGAAATACAGTATGCAGATCTGACCTTTACAGCGACCTGCATCGGGCTGGGCTCCCCTGGGATCCCCACGGCTAGTCCTTCATAGACCTCTCCAAATGCCCCATGACCCAGTCCTCTACAAACAAAACATACATTATTGTTACTCATTTTGTCAAATAATATTACTCCATATATTTCACAAAATACATTTCAGATTTCACTTATTAGAACATTCACTTTTATCGACTGTTTCACGGGCTGACCACCTGGTTATTGCTCTGTTGCAGGACGGTAGATGTGATTTTTCGGGACAGTGTGGGACACATGTGGAGAGATACATTTACTACTATTATAGTATGTAAATATTGATTTACATAAGTTGCCATCACTTTCGATGATGACATTTTAAATCACCAATAAGCTTTGCTAATTGTGACCAGCTCTGTGACTGGCACTCAATTTGCCCAGATGTGAGTGATACAATGATTTACTCTACAGGAACTATTCTCTCTTTCTCTCTTTTTGATGTGAAGGCCGAGTCGGGTAGCCCATACTCGGAATGTGTCCTCTGCAATTAACCCATCCAACTTAGTGCACACACATTATCCATGTATACACACTATATAGTGCATGCTGCGATAGCCTATCTACACTACATTGGTTCAATAGATGGGTGAAATTCTGTCCAAACCCAGCTAGGAAAAAATGATAAAAGCACTGATGTTCATTTACTTAAGTGGTGTCCAGGACGTGTTCATCTGTAATTATTTTTTGGCAATGTAATGTTGTCTTCTGTTATTTCTTTTTTTATTTTCTGTATAGAGTAGGCAAAACGGTTCGTTATCCCAACCAGTGAGTGGGTGTATTACTGTAAATACATTTCTGTACAAATTACTGCAATATATATATAGAACCGGGACATAGTGATGCTCCTAACCTGGTGAGAGAGATGTTCCGCCGTGGGACCTCCTTCAGGTCATTGACGGAGGCGGTCTTCCCACCAAAGCAGTAGTTGGGATTGTAGTCGGTCATGATGGTGGAAGCTCTCAGTTTGCTCAGCTTACAGTCGGGACTCTGCAGCTCCAACTGGATGGACTGGAGCTCGGTGTGTTTACGTCTGTACACTGGACAATAATCAGCACAGCATGACATTTTTCTGTTGGCATTCATTTCAAATTCCATGTGGAAATTAACTATCAAACTGCTGTAATAACCAGTGTTGTTGTAATTTTCTTTTACAGTTTAATTTAATGGAGCAAAAATATTATTTTTATTTATTTATTTTGAAATGAGACTCTAATTTATTGTGCGTTGTCATCATGTTTATTACAAAATCAAATTTATTCATTCAAAATAATGTCCTCTGTAATTTTAATAGTTCATTGCAAACTTGTGGAAATCTATATGGACAAATCTGAAATGTCATAAAAAGTTTTCACGAACAGGCATGTTTGCCCAAGTTTGGTGGGCTTGACCCAGGCAGTAAACACATTAGTGTGGCGTCTGGAAGTGATTTATTCATAAAGTGTAAACCGGCAAGGCTTGTCAGAGCCAAGTTAACAGCCCATTTATCATGCGTCTATTCTATTTATCACTCAGAGACTGCTACTACAGTGTAGATGGACAGATGATGTGTTAGGTGTGTTTGTGTTTGTGTGCGCGCATGAGAGAGAGAGAGAGAGAGAGAGAGAGAGAGAGAGAGAGAGAGAGAGAGAGAGAGAGAGAGAGAGAGAGAGAGAGAGAGAGAGGGAGAGAACCTGTGGTTAATGCATTGTGCAAACAAGATGCCAAACATATTCACAGCTTGTGTGGCATGTGCATAAGCAATTTACCATTATTACCATACAGAAAATAAAGATTTGCACTTTTTATGTTTTACAAATTGTAAAAATTTATTTAATTATGAAGTGTTCTGTTTTTTTTTTATTAAAAAGAAAATCAAATCAAATAACAAATTTCTATAATGGCATCAATAACAGAAAGCGTTACATCCAATCCCATAGGTGTCAGTATAATGTCTAAGACCACATTCATATCAGTCAGTAAAACATAAAGTGCACAACATAGTTACACATCATTTTCTGTGATCTGTCTGCAATTGCAGTTTTATCCTCACCAAAAAAGGTCAATGCGACAATGAAACTATGCTCATAAACAGGATTTGACATGGTCTACTTACTGATCATAACGCCTGAAACAGCCAACAGCAAAGCAGCGATGAGCGCGGACGTCCCCACAGACAAACCCAGTGCCAGGTGAGACAAAGACGGCTGGGCGGGAAACAGAGACACCTCTACACAAACACACAGCAATAAACATACCCTTCACATGAGGCAGGTTTATCTCAGTTTTGCTTTTCATATTTGAAACTGTTAACTCAGAACCACTATATGCACGTGTCAGATCAGCATCATGCGCGATCAAACTGAAGGGACACATCTGGATTTGAACATCTCTTGCACGCTAAACAAAAACTATAGATTCTAAAGTGAAAAACATGATAACTCTCTAGTAATGACTGAAGTCATTGTAATCTTTTGAGGTTTTTGTAAGGTTTTGGATAGTAATGACTCAAGTGTTATGACACCCTTCTAACGGAATTACTAATTATTTGGATCAGTATTCTAAAGTGAAGATCACGGTAACCCATTAGTAATGGAATTTAAATTACTATCCAAAACCTTACAAAAACCTCAAAAGCTTTCAATGACTTCAGTCATTACTAGGGAGTAATTATGCTTTTCACATTAGAATACTGATCCATATAATTATTAATACCTACTGAAGGATTTGATAATACTTGAGTCATTACGAATGGGTTAGGATGACCTTCACATTAGAATATTTATAGATTATGCATTTTTCACATTAATTATGAACCTGTATGGTAGTTCTTAGTAGTCCTTATACAGTTACTGATTAGGGGTAACACTTTACTTGAAGGGGTGTGCATAAGACTAACATGACACCTTCATAATCATGACATGACACATGTTATGAATATGAAGGAGGTTTTATGCATGTTTATGACAACTGTCATTAAGTGTCATTCGCTCAGTTATGACATTTTTAATGCAAATATGACATTGTTTGAAATGTCTTTGTTATGACACCTTGACATAAACAAATACATCATAACCTGTCAGTGTCTTTGTCATGACAACTTGACATTACTAAGACAACACAACCTGTCATAAACATAAGAAACCACTTAGCTTTATTGGTTAAAATTGCATTAAACTGTCAGGTGGTTGGTGTTGACATTGGCTGTCATGAAGCCATTATAACTTTTTAATGACAAATTGAATGTGTACCACTGTAGTTGAGGTCACGAAAAATATTCATGACACATTTATAATGGCCTCATGACAGCCAGTGTCAAAACCAACCACATGACAGTTTAATTTAATTTAATGTCAAGTTGTCATGACAAAGACACTGACGGGTTATGATGTATTGGTTTATGTCAAGATGTCATAACAAAGACATCTTAAACAATGTCATATTTGCATTCAAAATGTCATTACTGAGCGAAAGACACTTAATGACAGTTGTCATAAACATGCATAAACCCTACTTCATATTCATGACATATGTCATGTCATGGTTATGAAGGTGTCATGTCAGTCTTATGCACACCCCTTCAAGTAAAGTGTTACCCATTTATGTAATTGAGAAAAGCATCTACGAATAGATGTGTCAAATATTGTAAATGAACAAAACAAGAGCTAAAAGAGGTGTGCAACAGTGGAGAGTGTTTTTAATCTTTTCTTTCTTTTTGAGAACAAGCTGGCAAACGGAGCTAAAGTTCACAGCGATGACCTCTGTCAAAGACACTGTAAATGGCAGAGAATTGAGCTGGGTTTTACAGAGGTAAGTGCCGCTCTCGAGAAAGAACTTTATTATTGAGAGTACACTCTTCCCAGACATTCATTTTACCATTTTCTGAGACAGTCGTTCATCTGATGGTGGTGAAGTGTGTTATAAATGAACTAACCGGTGGAGTTGATGCAGGACACTCCGTCCGGGGCCAGTGTGAGCTCTTCATCGCAGTAACACACCATGCCCTCAGAGGTCTCATGGCAATCTCCTGACTCACAGTGACTGCAGTTCTGCACTGGGTTGATAATAACTTCCCCGTCGCCTTCCATGCCTGGAAACAACATTACCGTATGGGATGGTGAGGTGTAGTAGTAAAGATTGTGGCTTACAATCTGAAGGTTGTTGCTTTGATCCCCACAGGGGTGAACTATTACCATTGTGGGGCACCTTAATCCAGGTGGCCCTTAGCAAGGCACCTTAATCCAGGTGTCTCCAGGGATACAGTCCCTGTAATAAGGGTCCTGTACTGTACAGAACTTTCTTTAAATAGGAGCATCTGCTAAATGAATGCTTACTTAAAAGGTACACTATGTAACCTTTGGCCCTCTAGCTAAAAACAAAACAGTGTGCATTTTGTGGAAGAACATTGTTTTGGTTGTGCTTTAGCTCTGCATGAATATGTTATCCTACTGCACATAAAACATTCACAATTAGGCTTAAGAGATATAACCAGTTTAGATTGAAAGGATCTCAAGCTGACTAGAAGACATTACTGTAGCTTTACACATTAATAAACACTTGATATTAAATTCTAGCACAGTGCTACAACAACCATAATGAAATGACCAATCACAATAGATAATGCTTTACAAGAGAGCTACATACTATGGCAATTTATCTGTTCAATAAAATACCTTACTCACCTGTTGAGTTATAAAAACGTCATCTCTGAAAAGCCATGCCAATGTTGATTCATGTTTTATTATGAGCTCTGTCGCATTCTCTATTTGCCAGCAGGGTCTCGTCTGTTCGGTGTCTGTTTAAAACGGGTGATTCTCCGGAGGTTGGGGATTTAGCGGCTCCATGTCAACCTTTCTTGCTCGTTGTGACAACTAACCTCTGCCACTCACACACCAGACACGCGTCAAAGCAACCTTTCTCTAGTTACTGATATGATGAGACACACATGGGCAACTGACATATGTACACAATTCCCCACGAAAACCATTCCATCAGGTCTAACACTCATAATAGGCTTACCTTAGTGAATCAGGGGAAAAGGATTGTTGATGTATTGACTCATTCAAATTTGGTTAATTTTGAACAAAAAGTTACATTGTGTACCTTTAAAGGTGTTATATCTGAGACCCGAAAGACCCTTTTAAAATAAAAATAACTCGCAGTCCTCCTGAAACCACATAGAGTTAAGCACCTTGCTTTAAGGCACAGTGGTGCCTGAGAGGGATTGTAATCTCAGAGACCATACAGAATTCGGGTCACCCCAAATTTGGGTACAAACTTTAACTAACTGTATGCCACCATTAGGCCACGATTATTCCGATGTCTATTTTACAAAGGTTTAACATTAACAACGATTAATGCATTATTTTAAATATATATTGCTCATTGTCAGTTCATGTTTTTCGAGATACGTTAAAGGTGCAGTATGTAAGAATGACAAATAGTGGTCGAAATAGGTACCGCAGTCCAAATTCAAAATATCGGAGATCGTTGTTTCTCCCGCCCCCTGCTCCTCAGACTGGACGGCGCTAACACGGGTTGCCAGTTTGAGCACACACAACAGGAACGAGCGCAATGGACAATACAAATGGGCAAATTGGCAACGTGCAGTGTTACAGACCAAAACAAAAACGAGTATGTGAAACGAGTATGTGAACTTAGCATGTTTCCTAAATATATGCAAACAAATTATGGAATTTGTATGCTTTAGTAGAGTGAAAAAGTTACGTAGAGTGAAAAAGTTACATAGAGCACCTTTACTGTCCTTGTGTCTTGAGCCAAGGGTCCAATGATATAAGACACTTGAGCCTGCGATGAACCGTTTAGGAGTTATGAGCCATTACGTACTTTTGATCGTTGTAGCACCCTCGTTAGGCCAACTGGGATGAGCCTTGGTTGGTTGTAGCATCCCTCAAAGTTTCAAGTCTCTACGACTTACGGTTTGGTCTGCCCGATCACTTTTAGTGGAGAATGCTGATCCTTGTAAATTCTAACAATTACAGTAGGGTTTCAGCGCTACGTGCTTGAACCCCTAAAAAGTGCACTTAAACAAAATGAAGTGTGGAATGTTGGACACTTCATGCACTCAACTGTCTCAGTGTTCCTTAAGTAGTGGAATTGGAGGATATATCATCCTCCGATACTGTGTGACAGAATAACCTTACAAAACACTATTTGCATAGTACAAAGTATAAGTGCATAGTGTATAGTATGCAATTTGGAACACAACTAAAGACACTTTATTGTGTTACCTTTGAGTGGTTCCAGGTACATCTCGCCGTCAGGACTTATAAACGATGTGCCATCATCGCCATCCATTCTGGGATCATTATCATGCCAGGCACTGCCCCCTTTAGCCATGGAGGAGAGAAGTCATAAAATGTGGCAAAACTCATAAAATGAAGATATATGAAAATCAAGGCTGACATTTAGTCTAACCTCTGTATCCTCCACCTCCTCCACCAGCCGTGCACGATCCTCCACCACCTCCAAAACCTCCTCGAGTTTTCCAGCCTATGACTTGACAGGGTTCCCCACCCTGACCTCCTAAAATGAGTGGTCTACCACCTTGAGGAACAGGGGCACTGTCATTCCAGCCTCCACCACCCCCTGAAATACACAGAAACACACATCATAAAAACAGATAAAGACATTTCACTTTCTCTGTGTGGCTTTCATTTCACAGCAGGAGACTGTATTTGCATCCTCATCTAACAGATCTAAGAATGCAGAGTGTCACTGAGATTTCTCCAGAGAAGTGTCCTATGAACATCCCTGTACTCCTAAAGCAGGTCAGTGCTGTTGCTTAGCATACAAATGCCCAAATAAAAATGTGGCAAATTATTTCAGACGTCAAAGCTGTCCCATTTTGCTAACTCTCGAATGGTTTCTTAACAGCACAAGCTTTCCTGAAGAATAAACATATAAAAATCCAGGATATCAGTCAGACCATTCAACAGATGGATGGATGGATGGATGCATGGATGGATGGATGGATGGAAGGAAGGAAGGAAGGGTGGGTGGATGGATGGGTGGGTGGATGGATGGGTGGGTGGGTGGGTGGGTGGAAGGAAGGAAGGAAGGATGGATGGATGGATGGATTGAGGGATGGATGGATGGATGGATGGATGGATGGATGGATGGATGGATGGATGGATGGAGGATGGATGGATGGATGGAGGGATGGATGGAGGGAGGGAGGGAGGGAGGGAGGGAGGGAGGGAGGGAGGGAGGGATGGATGGATGATTGGTAGGCGAACATATATACAAGATGGCACACACCCTAACAAATCTTACGTTTGCAGACATAAATATAATGCACAATCCATCCTCATACATCAGTGCTTTTTGTGTACTAGCACTATATGCAGAGGTGGACTGTGGAACAGATGAATAGAATATCCACCATGTTTTATATCTGCAGGGAAGAAAAAGATATGTGATGTGGTCTAGCAATAATAAAAAAATAATCATCCAATCTGAAGTGTTGATGTAGGTAGAATAAAAGAATACCCAAGAGTAAAGAGACTAGAGGAAGATGGGTACAGCAACTGACTCATACCAGTGTAGATGACAAAATGAAACAAATGAAAACTCTATATCCCAAGTGTGGATCAAACATTGTACATGTGAATCAAGCTTGGCTCTTCATGCTATGCAGTGATGTCATGATGAATATCTCATATTGAATAGAATTAGGAGTGAAGGTTTTGTGCTGTTCTCTCGGACCCCAGCGGCAGTAAATAGAGCACAGTGGGTGATCTAGCCTTTGAAAAGAGCACCACCGATTGAAACCACACTGAGCGCTCCGCAGGAGACAACCAGAGCACCCACAACACATGCAGAAACTTCAACAGGAGCACAGACACGCATGTGCCCTCAATTGCTTAGACTTGAAAGCAGGGCACACGTGTTATTACTGTAGTGTTGGTATCACCTTCCAATCAGTTAGCAAAAAAGCTGGTGAAGAAATCTCAAGAATAAAACTAATTTGCAGGATCTGTATCTTTCAGCCACTGCTGAAATAGAGAATGAAATAGGGAATTTGAAGAAACCGCCACAAAAATCATATTCAATCTCAGACTGGTTTAAGGACTAGTACGAAGCCCAGGCAGAAAAAAACAAATAGTATGTTCATGTCCAGGAAAGAAAGAAAAAAACAAATATTGGGGCTTCAGCATGTTTTTTTTCATAAGCAAACCCGATTTCCAGGTAAAGAAAAGCATTCCTACTTTCCACATGAAGCTGTAAAAAAAAATAAAAATAATAATCATTGCTCTTTGTGCAGTTTCACTGCCACTTGCTTCCACTATTTACCAGAAGGAACATGCCTAACATCTGACTCTAGACTTCATCAGACCTCAAGAACAGCATGCTAAGATTAGTCTAAATCATTTACTGTAAAATACAGACAATCTCTAATTTATTACAAAACCGTTGAGAGGCACACCTGCAGTGCCTGATTTTCCATTGCGGCCATGGATGCTGGGATTCCTGTCCATCACTTCCTCTGGGGTTTCTGATTGGCTGCTGTAGCCGCGGCCTCCACCTCCGGCAGCAATGAGTAGCGGAATATGGACTCCATTCACCATCTGTAACCAATGGAAACATGAAGTGTGAGATTCGTTTTTAACTGTGCAACACTTCAATTTGTTATTACAAAAATAACTTTGAGGTTTGAGCTTTCAGGACTTTCTCACCAATTATATTTTCCTAATTAAATGCAACCTGGTTTGGAATGCTCTACATGGGAAGAAAATAAATATAACCACCACTGCTAACACCCATACTCTTTTAATCATAAAATGACACACAAAAACAGTCAATTGTAAATAGATAATTGGAATTTTATTGATATTAACTATATTTATATTTCTCACGACTCTGTCTGCCAAATTTTTTGTTGCCCAATGATTTTAGGTCATTCATCACAGTGTAATTAGAACAGAACTTTACCATAAAGATATGCGGTAGCAACATTTTTATAGTTGGAATTGGAACTTAAATTTACTGTAAATAAAAAACAAAAACAAAAACGAACTGTTATAATGTTAATATAACAACATACTGAACCAAAATCTGTATTGTACTTTTATAATACACTGACAACCACAAAAAAAAAGTGGTATGACATTAAAATAACGCAATAAACATTTAACAACATACATGAAGTATCCCATTAGATTTATTATAGTTTTTCACTGTAATAGTAAGTAAACTTACCATTAACCAATTAACAAGTTTTGGTAAGTCTTTATTTCAACAGTGTCCTTGTTACGCATGTTACATGTAGTTACAATACCCTACTAATAACCATGAATTATGCATAATTACATGCAACTAACCCTAAACCAAACCCTATAGTAAGTACATGTAGATAATTAATATTACTCAGTACTTAAATAAATAATTACACTGTAACAATGACACCTTAAAAATAAAGTGTAACCCAGTTTTTTTTTACAGTCCTTTACTGTTAAAAATTACATTTATTAATTACATTATTGATTATTACTGTATTTTTTTGTAAAAATTATCCAATTTGAAATGTTTTTATAAAGGGTCACCTTGAAGACGTAGGTGCCCCCCCCTCCTCCGCCGCCCCCTCCTTTGAGCTGGGTCTTGTTGATAGAGGGTCCTTGCTGTTCTCTGCAGATCCGGTCCATAGTCGGCACCATCTAACAAAACAAAACAAAACAAAACAAAACAAAAAACAAAACCATTATATGCTTTACAAGATGCTCATCATACTGTTTTCTTTCTGCATAGCACAAAGACCTATTGATATACTCACATTAGGGCAAGCGTCCTCTCCTTCCTGTCCCACTAGAATATACACCAGCTCATCCTTCTGTAGAAGGAAGTCTCCGGTCATGTACACCCCATGTGACTTGTGAACAGCCAGGACGCTGCGTCCACCAGCTGCTCCATACGCCGTGATCCTAAACACAAGACAAATAAGAAGGCAGTCATTTAACAGACGCTTTCGTGACTCATAGAGCACGTATTACAGGGACAATTCTCCTGGAGTGACCTGGGGTTAAGTGCTTTGCTCAAGGCAAGGGCACAATGGCGGTGGCTCTTGACTCACTCCTTACACGGATCAAACCGGCAACCTTCTAATTATAAGCTCTAACTTTTAGTGACTACACCAGCGATGCCATGGAAGCTCTGTGCCTAATATAGTGAGTGAGCTGCCTGATAAGCAACATTACAAAGGGACTGGAACACTCTACATAAGCAGCATCTCATGTAGTGCAACTCCAATTGATTTTGATGTTAGCATGTTCCTAAACTAACAACCTCTTACTCTTTTACTCATTAAAATGACATAACACTCCAATATTGGGTGAAATAGACCATTTTAATTACTGTATTTTCCAGAAAATAAGTTGCACCAGTTTTTTATAGTTTGGATATAAATACATTCCGGATATATATTCCGGAAAATATGGTAGATCAAACTATTAGTATTGGTATTACGTATTTAATGAAATATATTTGTAGTGTTTCTCACAGATCTGTCATGTTCGTTTGAGCTGTTTTGATGTTGTTTTTCCCACATAGGCCACTAACAATGTTGTCTCAGCCAAATGAGATAGCCTACTTTATCAGACAGCATAATGTTACCTTTTGAAACGACCTTTGCGTCAGGAGCATATGTGAGGCTTTAAAATGTTGTCTAGGTAGGCAGTTCACTTAAAAAAAAGAAAAAAAAAGAGCTGAAATGTTTTTCTCTTTTTTTTTCTTTATAGACTTTGCTAAGTGAATGCCATTATCAGTCTGGGTACTACCTCAGCAATGCAGCTGATGACTTTGGAAATGTGTTTTCTCATTCCTCCTGGTCCTCGGACAGCAATTACCTGAATGACCTGATGGGCTTGATAACAGGCAGCAATTGTGCCGAAGAAGAATGTCTTCCCATTTCATGGTCGAAAAAGTATCTGCTAAACGCCTGGAAGATATTTTGTGTGGCTTTTGTGTGTGTGTACCTGTATTTCCTAGTCTCTGGGACCCGCCACATCTGGATGCCCTTGAACGGTCCCTTAGTGCCCACACTGACATTGACATTGGTGTTGCGGTAAGAGTTACTGCACTGAGTCGGCGTTGGACCGTCTTGTCCTGTCGCTCCACAGGTGTGGAATATCCACTTGACAGCTGTGAAAACACACAAATGCCCACAGATATAGCAAAGGTACCTTTAGATTCATAAAATAAGATTTTTTTTTTTTTCAGAGAAATAATCTACACTACTGTATTGGTGTAAAACTTGGACCAAAAAAAGTAGAAGGTGAAAATAGAAAGATATGCTATGTGATGTGTTTGGCTGGCTGGGCAGTCAAAAAGCCACAGATAAATGTATGATTTTTTTTTGTTCTTAGCTGGAAACCCGTGGAATGTCTTTCACAGACCTGAAAATAGTGCTACATAAAAGAGTTCAATCATTGCTAAATGTCAAATGCACTTACTCGTAAGAGGAATGAGGTTCTGACTGAGTTCACTTCACTAACACTGTCAGCATTCCGATTAGATATACTCACTTTTAACTTTAAAAAAACTCACAAACTCACGGATTCTAAAGGTTAAGGTGCATTATAGATATGTCGCAACACATTTCGTGTTTCTGACATTTTTGTATCAGCTCTATGTCAGGAGCTACAGCAGAGACTGAAGGCTGATTCACGTCAGCTTCATCTGCTATTTATTGCCTTTGTTTAAGGAACAGTTTTATTTCAATATTTTGTTTCAGTATTATTTTTATGTTTACTTATTATTATTGTAATTGGTGTAATACAATGACGGCCATATGGTTCATAGCCTTGTGAAAAAGAAGTACACCTTCTTATACTTTAAAAGAATATCAATACACTTAATGTACTTTTTCATAAACTTAACTGCATGTTAATTGCAATTAAATAAAAAATAAATTCAAAAGTTTAAAACGTTTTTAAACAAAAGTTTACATTTCTATTAAATGCAAGTAGCTGAGAGTGCTTTTCTCACCCACTTAAGTATGATTTAAGTACATTTTAATTTATAATTTCATAATTACTTCTATTGTCTTTGAAATATGCTAAATGTACTGACAAGCATTTATGGCCAATTAAAATGTAATTTATATAGAAACTTAAATAGCATGGGTTTCAATATATTTGTAAAGATACATTTGAATTACAAATGAATTTGTAAATTAAATGTTTTACAGTTAAACTACAGTTAAAGTGATAAACAAGTACTTTACATGTGCTTTGATATGTTAATCAGCTCATCAAAATGAGTGTAATTATTTGAACCATGACAAAAGATTATTAAAACAATGATTTCAAATGTACGAGTTTAAATCTGAAGTTATTAGACAATTCCCTTTTCAGAATTGCAGTGTCTTTAGAAGCAAGAAAGTATACTCTCTTTAAGTAGCATTTTATTGTATTAATATTATATTATAGTAATATGCAAGTACTATACAACTAGAGTTTAGTTTAGGGTTAGTTGCTTATATAATTACGCATCATTTATAGTTATTACTACAATAACTACAGTACATGTAACATGTGAAACAAGGACACTAACATAAAGTGTTACCCAATTTTTAAGATATGAAAAACACTTCTTTTTCATTAGGTTGGGGTCTACTTGCAAAGCTGAAACCAATCAAATGGCCTGAAACCTATAAGGAAAGCCAATCCAGTTTTGACATGAATGACCAGAGCAGAGTGGTATCAAGGTGAGAAACAAATTCTGCCAAGTACTTGCCAACAATTGGTCATTGCATACAAAATAGGTAACATTCTGGATATATTACACTGACATTTAACATTTTGGGCCAGTAAACTTCCAAAACAGGAGTCTGCTGTTCCGAATGCAGTGATGTTGTTCGACCCAAGTCTGCAAATAAAACATCTGAATATATCCAAATAAAAGTTTAGTTCCTTGCCAGGAACCTATCAAGTTGAATTAATTAGATCTGACGTGAAAGAAAGCTTTGAGTTGTATAGAGGTAATGTGCCAGACAAATATCACCAATGGGTCTTATACAACTTCCTCTTATTATAGAGATCTCGAAGGTTTGATTGGTGGAAATAGCTGAGTCATCGGAAGCTGAGCGGCGGTACTCAGCGCATCATGAGGTTAGCGGCCCGTCTCTTATTCTCATCAGGGGAAGCAATCACACAGACAGAGTCAGAGGAAGTAATCAAGGAGACAAAGGCCGAGGGAGCTGATCTGACAGAAGAACACACTCCCTCTCTCCACGGCGCTGAAGATTCGAGTCAGCGTAAGGCAAACTTCCCCATTCGACTGGGATTTGCTTGCCAAAATGAGATGCCATGGTGGCAAGGGGAGAAATCGATAGTGGTGGATGGAATGGGAGAGGGCAGGAACAGAAAAGAGAAGGACAAATTGGAGATGACAAAAGGGAGAGCGGCGGCATGACAGAAAATTCCAATAGTTGCACAATTTATCAAAAACATCAAAACCTTTTTTTAAAGCTATATCAATTATCCGACTGAATCAAGGGAAGATTGATGTACAACTTGATTTTCCTTCCAGTTTAAAGAAACAACAGCTGGGAATAGAACTCCAGAAAGCTTTACTAGAGTGTGTTTCTGGTAGAAAGTGTTTGTGTTTAATTATTAACTGTCTTGAGCAATTGTGGTTTCAAACCAGTTTAAAGCTAGAGCTAGGTGGTATGATCAAAATGCGATACACTTGATACACATATGAACTATGCAGCCCATTCTCATCCCTAGGCGTCATGAAACTGACGCCTTGCGAATCATTTTGACCATGCTTCAATATTCGACGCTTTAGGCACCCTTTAGCGTCAGTTACATGACGCGATCCTAGGGCGTCATCTCACTGACGCTTTACCTTTAACGTCAGTTAGATGACGCTATCTAATCCTAACCCTACCCCAGACCTAAACCTACCCGCGTCATCTAACTGACGCTAAAGGTAAAGCGTCAGTAAGATGACGCCCTAGGATCGCGTCATGTAACTGACGCTAAAGGGTGCCTAAAGCGTCGAATATTGAAGCATGGTCAAAATTGTCATTTTAGTGACGCCTTGGGATGAGAATGCGTTGGAATTATGATATTATGATACACTTATTTTTGCTGGAAATTCAACTGAAAAATATCGAACAACACCCTGCAAGTCAAAAGGACATACAGGCCAAAGGTTTAATTAGTTAATATATACACTCACCTAAAGGATTATTAGGAACACCATACTAATACTGTGTTTGACCCCCTTTCGCCTTCAGAACTGCCTTAATTCTATGTGGCATTGATTCAACAAGGTGCTGAAAGCATTCTTTAGAAATGTTGGCCCATATTGATAGGATAGCATCTTGCAGTTGATGGAGATTTGTGGGATGCACATCCAGGGCACGAAGCTCCCGTTCCACCACATCCCAAAGATGCTCTATTGGGTTGAGATCTGGTGACTGTGGGGCCATTTTAGTACAGTGAACTCATTGTCATGTTCAAGAAACCAATTTGAAATGATTCGAGCTTTGTGACATGGTGCATTATCCTGCTGGAAGTAGCCATCAGAGGATGGGTACATGGTGGCCATAAAGGGATGGACATGGTCAGAAACAATGCTCAGGTAGGCCGTGGCATTTAAACGATGGCCAATTGGCACTAAGGGGCCTAAAGTGTGCCAAGAAAACATCCCCCACACCATTACACCACCACCACCAGCCTGCACAGTGGTAACAAGGCATGATGGATCCATGTTCTCATTCTGTTTACGCCAAATTCTGACTCTACCATCTGAATGTCTCAGCAGAACTCGAGACTCATCAGACCAGGCAACATTTTTCCAGTCTTCAACTGTCCAATTTTGGTGAGCTCTTGCAAATTGTAGCCTCTTTTTCCTATTTGTAGTGGAGATGAGTGGTACCCGGTGGGGTCTTCTGCTGTTGTAGCCCATCCGCCTCAAGGTTTTGCGTGTTGTGGCTTCACAAATGCTTTGCTGCATACCTCGGTTGTAACGAGTGGTTATTTCAGTCAAAGTTGCTCTTCTATCAGCTTGAATCAGTCGGCCCATTCTCCTCTGACTTCTAGCATCAACAAGGCATTTTTGCCCACAGGACTGGCGCATACTGGATGTTTTTCCCTTTTCACACCATTCTTTGTAAACCCTAGAAATGGTTGTGCGTGAAAATCCCAGTAACTGAGCAGATTGTGAAATACTCAGACCGGCCCGTCTGGCACCAACAACCATGCCACGCTCAAAATTGCTTAAATCACCTTTCTTTCCCATTCTGACATTCAGTTTGGAGTTCAGGAGATTGTCTTGACCAGGACCACACCCCTAAATGCATTGAAGCAACTGCCATGTGATTGGTTGATTAGATAATTGCATTAATGAGAAATTGAACAGGTGTTCCTAATAATCCTTTAGGTGAGTGTATATATATATATATATATATATACCGTATTACTATTTTTAAATATAGTGTATAGACTAAAACCACACAGTTTCATGACACTGAATGTTCCTCCTTTTGCCGTTTCAGACACTGCAGAGAACAGTTAGACGATGTATTTTGACCGTTCACAGCTGAACTACACTGGAGAACGCCTTGCGTGAGTGAGGCTCTGCTAATGAGTCCTGATGAATAGCAGATTAGCTGCTCGTTCAGATATATTAAGGCTGAAATGGCGTGGGAGTCATTTCACAAACCATACTGATAAATGATATGCTCCAATGAGAGGAACACCTGTATATGCAGTGGGCAAACAGATCAGTCTTCCCAGGAATGATAGCACTTGGTCATGTAGAAGACGTCTCTCACAGACTGATTTGTGCAATTTATTCAATAGATAATCATGGTATAGTCATGAACAATCGTGATCATATGAAAGCATGAATGCAGGGAAACTTCAACTCTGGATAGTATCTTTACAGATGATGTTTTAGGTTGTTTTCACGGTTGGTTTGATTATAGAAAGTCTGCAACAAATGCACAGGAGAGATTCAAGGAACACATATTGCTTTTCAAGGAAATTTAATGGAGACGAGCAGAAATTCATTATACTATATTGCATGTGATCGGGAGCATGCAAATGATATATCATCACCAGGTCATTATTACAGTCTGGTGGATTGTATACCAATATTTTAAATGAACTGTTAATCAACTTTAATGCCACATGGTATTCCACGCATAGATTTACCCCATTAACACAAATTAATAATGATTAACTATAAGAATAATTAAATACGTCTTGACTTTGAAATAAAAGTTGCATATATATTTCCAAATTAGCGATTTTGAGCATTAGTAACTCCTCGACTCCTGACTCCTTGACATAACATATAAATTATTGTGATACATTTAATGTGTAAAACCATGAAATTATTTTGTGTGTCTTAAACCTCAGTCCAGCCTGTTACATTGTTGCTACTTGACCTTTCAAATCTTAAGCATATGCTCTATATCACATGACTTGCTAGAAGTGACATCATTTCCTTGGAGGGAAAGCAACTCCAAGAACAAAGTATCAGTAATCAATTTGTCTTTATTTTCCTTATTTTTAGAAGACTTATCTACTAGCATAAAACATAACATTTCTGCCTTATTGTGTCAGTATGGACATGATTTTCTTTAATAGATTTTATATATCTATTAAAAATTCTACAAAATCTTAATCTTCTGCTAGCATGCTGTTCTTTCCTAGCTTGTAATGGGCTTTATTAGATTAAAACTGTAGGAATTACCTCAATAGCATTTCCATGATTTAGATTATGAGATTACTCTTGCCTCATACTTCTCCAGACAATTAAGCACACTCATCGTGGTTCCCTGGTGTACACCTGAGTTTTGAAATCCACATTTACACCAATTAAATGAACCAAACTCTGATGTCACATGCACTCAGATTTGCACCAAAAGCTGTAGTGTAAAAGCACCCTCGGATGTTGCGACTGGCCTTTCAATACTGTTTGATCTGAAGAGAAATGGGGCAGAAATAGTCCAGTAGATGGCACACTTTATTTTCTCTGCAGTGCACTTCCGTTTCAGAGAGAGAGAGAGAGAGAGAGAGAGAGAGAGAGAGAGAGAGAGAGAGAGAGAGAGAGAGAGAGAGAGAGAGAGAGAGAGAGAGAGAGAGAGAGAGAGAGAGAGAGAGAGAGAGAGAGAGAGAGAGAGAGAAAGAGAAAGAGAGAGAGAGACGGTATCTGAGCCTCTGTTCATAAGCATTCATCTTCTATATCCATTAGAAATCCAACATATTTGGTGTACTCAAGCATTTCAACAATTTCAGTGTGCTCAGAAGGAATTACATGGTCTGGACTTTGAATTAGGTGCTTTAATGTTTGCAGTGAATAACTAATAACTTGCTGTGAAAACAAAGACTCCAGAGTCTTTATAATACACAACGCTACTTTTGTTGGGAGCCGGGAGTGTTGTTTGGACCAGACATCCATATCTTCAAAATATTATCAATATTTGGGAAGCTATATAAAAGTTTTGACAATTCATCTAGTTTTTTTGTTTTGTTATATAACTATATTTATTTTCTATTGCAATTTAGTTTTAGTTAGTTTTAAATGCAAAGCAATCAATAAATAAACTACATCACTAGTTTTGTTTCCCATAATTTGCTTTGTTTTATGTTTGAGTCATTGTAGGTTCCCTTATGCATTTATGCACTCTTCAAAAACTTTGCTGACTGTAGACACGCTGACGTAGAGAATAAATTGTATATATTTTTCAAATAGAATGAAAGATCTTGAATGTACTGCACATTATGTTACTTATTGTGCCCAAGAACATGATCTATTCAATACTGGGTTCAGACTATAATATTGTTGTCTGTTACGATAGTCACTGTGTCAGATTATGCAATTTTGGGTAACACTTTATTTGATGGTCCCTTTTGAATATTCTGTTAAGTAACTTTGCAACTAGATGTCAACTAACTCTCATTAGAGTATTAGTAGACTGTCTGCTTAATATCTGCTAACACTTTATTGTGATGGTAGCCTGGGAAAACCCAGACAACTTCCGGCAAATTTAGATTTGCTCTGAAAGTTAGTCTGGCAAAGAGCTCATTTAAGCCCATTTCCAATCCGCCGAAATCGAGGCACCAATCAGAAACGTTGGGGCGGGCTTTACACGATGACGACAGCGCTGGGATTTTGAAGCAGATTTTGTAGCCTACATTACAAAGATGGATGCCGGCGTCGAACATCACTCGTTCGAATCAGCTATCGCGTCTGTTTTAAGCGATTTGAACGTTTCCTTTTAGTAAAAAACCGAGCAAAGAACAACACTCGGAGATGTTTCTCCGCCGCTCTGCATACGTCATCTCCTTCATCGCTCTGATTGGGTTAGGTCTATCCACGACGTCCGTTGGTGACGCCCCTCTGGAAATGATTTGTCTATGACGCTTTGCCAGACCATAACTCAGTTACAGCTGAGAATGGTGTGGTTTTAACCAGGCTATTGTGATGGTCCTCTAACAGACACTCTACTTACTATAAGTAGCTTTGCAACTACATGTCAACTTATTCTAACCCTAACCCTACCAGTCTGCTAATACTTGACTAATACTCTCATGAGAGTTCGTAGACATGTAGGTGCAATGTTACTTATAGACAGAATATAACAGAATGTCTTAAAGGGACCATCAAAATAAAGTGAAACCCAATTTTGACTCCTAAATTCTTGTGTCGTAGACAAGAAACAAGTCACACTACACATTGCTTACCGACCAATCATAGTTTGTCGTCTTTAACCCTTTAGAACCGGCTGTGTCGTCGCCGACACAGACAAGCAAGCTGTATTCATTGTACCGTAACTCTTCAACCGTTCGCACTATCAAAACCATTCAAATTGCCCCTGACAACATGCGCTTTTCGGCAATATACGGCTTATTACGGTAATTCCGTCAGCAAATGACAGCAGCTTTCTGGCAGAGCGGGAAGGAAGGATTTGAACAGAGAGATACGAAGCGCGGCAGGTTAGAGTGTTTTGGATTGCGGATGGTGTTTTGGATTGCGGATGGCCGTTACTCTTTCACGTATCTTTACATGTGGTGTATGCATGTGTATGTGTGCGTGCCTATGAATGGATGCATTTGTATGTGTGCGTGTATGAAAAAAAGTGTCCTAAATGAAAACTGTGCAACACAATGTCACAAAAAAGACTTGTATCTGATGTATTATACTTCATTTTTCAACTTTGAAGTGTTAGTTCCTTTCGTTTGTGATTTTTCTGTTTTTTTTCTAAATAAAAATCAGAAAATGTATTTTTAGTTTTTTTTTTACTTTTGTCTATTTAAATTCTATTTACAAACTCACCACACACAATAATGGTCAATAACTGTAATTTGTTGAAAGCTAATCTTTTTCTGAAAAAGATGACACCTTGCACATGAAGATAGCACATTATTTTAGAATTTTACAGTCAAAAAATCAAAATGTGTGAAAAACACCTATTTTAGCTTCAGGTTCTAAAGGGTTAACGATGTGTGTAATATCATCGAGAAGGCGGAACTAGTGACTGACTTCCGGACACAAGAGCATAAAAAAACAATGTTTGTACTAACTTAATGCTAATTCCAGAACTCAAAGGTTATCTTTTTTCACTCAGTTGTGGTAGTCCTTCGATGAAACATTGTAAGGGCAGGAATTAAGTGCGAACAGTTGAAGAGTTACGGTACAATGAATACAGCTTGCTTGTCTGTGTCGGCGACGACACAGCCGGTTCTAAAGGGTTAAAGACGACAAACTATGATTGGTTGCTTACTTATAGCTCCACAAACCTTTCCTCTATTGCATAATTAAACCTAGCAGAACCAATACCATCGTCTCTCTTCGTTTCACCATGTTTGAAAGCTGTATGGAAGAGCTTCTCCGCTCCTATTGGTCAATGTCACAGATGTGATGGAACCCGTCGTGATTTAGACATGCTAGTCTTTCTGTTGGGACGTCATGAAGCTTAGTCGGTTGTCATCCGCTATGACACACCATACGAGATAAAACGATCAATTAATGCGCCCTGATGCCCATTGTTGTTTACGAATCACCACAACACCCCATGTCAAATGGATCGAGCCAAAATCGGCATAAGTCCACATGTCATACTGACAAAAAATATGCTTCTAACCACAGGTCAATAGGTTTGCAATGCTGTGGAATGGTTTCAGGAAAACCCAGATTTGTTTAACTATGTTGATGAAAAAGAATCTTGTGCCTGTATTTGGCTCCCAATACTTTTGGGGAACGGTGTGTTGGGATGTCAACCAGACGGGTGTTTCTTGACTAATGGGTTAGGTAGCTGTAAGAGACTATATAAAACCGACATTTTGAACAATGACAAAAAATATGTTTTATTTTAGCGCTCATGTACTGTATAGTTTCAATTCAATAACAAGAATAAACATGGATTGCACCAAACTTCAGACTTTTAAATCCCACTGGGGCAAATTTCAGTCTGAACAAGCTAGATAAAAGTCAGAAACATTAAAAAAAAAATACAAACAGCTCAAGCACATGAAAGTAGCTAAAACTCACATTCTGTAGACGGTGGTGTAGTGGTCTTGATGTTCTCCTTGCTTGGTGTGAACAGTGCTTGCGTGGGGCTTATGGGAGCCACCGGAGGAAATTCTCCATTGGCTGAAGATGAGAGAAAAGACACAATACATTGTTGCAGTCCAACAATACTAATGCAGCCAGAGAAGATCTAGCAGGCATTGGAAAAGCACAAGCCTATAGAAAACAGCTCTATTTTGCCTTAAAAACATTATTTTAGATAATATATTCCATGACAATACACATTCTATAAAGCTAGTAATGACATTAGCATATCTGTCTCGAGAATTGCTTGAATATACGAGAAACATGCGCTGGAAAAATGGCTCAACTGTTTGCCTATTTTTCACATTTCGAGAAATGTTAATGATATGCTAATAAGGATGCTTGCTGATGATGTAGAAGTCTCAAAAGGGTGACCACTAGACCTTAAAATCTTGATATAAATTACTCAACAGGAAAAAGTCCATGTCACCAGGCCACTACTTATAAATGCACATGTAAACAATGGATAATACAAAGTATATGCAAATGAACCATAACCTTTCTAGTGTTAATTGCTAATATAGGCTATATTTTCAAGCCATCAAGAATTTATGGCTATCTAGCATTTTTTTACAGAAAGCTTAATAAAACCCGTTTCTAGGCGCATGTAACATTTATCCAGATGCATTTGCATTTCATGAGGATTTTTCTGCTTCCTGTCTCTCTTTGACTGGACTTGATATTTCCATCACCTCCTCATGCGATTTTCATGGGGTAATATTTAATGGACAGGCCTGCTTGATGCTCAAACATGCAGGATAGTGAGCAGTCAGGATAAAACATGTCTTATCTATATCATTTTATACCAATTGCATTGTTCAGTTCTTGATTCTTTAGGCTGATGTGTTGACTGCACATATGAAGTAGTTCCAGGATTGCCAACCCGATCTGACGACCAATTCGTCCGAATTTGACGAGTGATTAAAAGATGGCTAATTCGTAACTATTCGTACGACCTCACTCATACGAATTAGTACGATTTTTGCTAAATCGTACATATTTGACGAGTTGCCCAATTCGTATGAATTCGTACGAATGACCTACCCCTGACCCCGCCCCTAAACCTACCCATCACGTGGGTTTAGACCAGGGGTCTCAAACTCAACTTAACTGGGGGCCGCTGGAGGTAGAGTCGGGGTCAGGCTGGGCCGCATCAAGTATTCCACAAAAAATAGTATTCAAGTATTCCAAAAAAGGAGCACAACTGATCCAATCTTCTCAATATTTATTATTAACGTTTCTTCTGAACTGTTCCTCTGAATTTGAACATTCCTTTCTGTACACGATTGGTTCTTCATGAGCTGTCCTTCTGACAGTTGAAGGTCATTTTACAAACTTTCTTTGTCTATAACACATATTTGTGATATTTATTGCTTATGTCCTTTTTATTTTCTTTATACAACACATTAATGATATTGAATGTTTTTCTTTTTTTGGAAGGCACATTTCCTTTTATTATACTTAGAAAAACAATTATTGCTTTTGAAATACAAATATTTGCAGTCATGTCTGCCCGTCTTATTGAATTCTTTCTACACATGTATAGTGTCTCAGGCAAATGACTGACTGTGCACAAATCAAAGCCAACCGTCTTAACAACCTGTTGGACACATATTACAAGCTCAAAATTATTACTCTCACATTGTTTTAGAGCAGGGTCTCTCTCCAACACGTCGCTCGCGAGCTACCAGTAGGTCGTGGCCTGATTGGTGTTAGCTCGCCAAGGGGCCGTTCACATATCGCGCTCACATATTTTGCGCGCTCAAGTTCGTTATTTCAAATGTAGGCGCGCGGCAAGCGCGCTCATAATTGAAGCGACGCGCTCATTTTTTTCCAGGCGCAGTATGTTTGTACTTCGCGGTTGTCATTGACAACTATTGACAACAAACCCACCGTAAGCTGTCACGAAACTATCTATGGTAGCCCATAAGGGATACAAATATATATATATTTTTTTAAAACGCGGCACACGCAACGACGGGCCGCACTAACATTAAACTTTAATGTCAAGTAGGGGGCCACAAAATATCACCCCGCGGGCCGCAAATGGCGAGTTTGAGACCACTGGTTTAGACAAATCGTACAAATTCATACGAGTGAGGTCATACGAATTCATACGAATTAGCCATCTTTTAATCACTCGTCAAATTCGGACGAATTGGTCGTGAGATAGCGTTGGGATTTCTGACCACGTAACAATTACAAACCACTTTAAAGGGTTAGTTCACCCAAAAATGAAAATTCTGTCAGTAATTACTCTCCCTCATGTTGTTCCAACCCCGTAAGACTTCCGTTCATCTTCGGAAAACAAATTAAGATATTTTTGATTAAATCTGAGAGCTGGATCACTGCTACATAGGCTTCTTAAGGGATCGAAACTGGCCGGCCCAAAAGTTATGAAAGACATCGTTAAAATAGTCCGAGTGACTACAGTGGCTCAATCTTAAGTTTATCAAGCGACGAGAATACTTTTTGTGCGCAAAAAACAAACAAAAATAACGACTTTATTCAACTAATCATTTCCTTCTCTGTGGGCCGTGATATTTCACGTAGTGATATTGCGCAAAGCTTCTAGGTTGCACGTCACACGTAGGCTCACTATTGACCGACGCTGGTCATGTGTGTGATGCGTGACGTACAACCTAGAAGCTTTGCGTAGTTTCACTGCGTGAAATCTCACGGCTGAACAGAGAAGGAAATGAATAGTTGAATAAAGTCGTTATTTTTGTTTGTTTTTTGCGCACAAAAAGTATTCTCGTCGCTTGATAAACTTAAAGTTGAGCCACTGTGGTCACTCGGACTATTTTAACGATGTCTTTCATAACTTTTGGGCCGGCCAGTTTCGATCCCTTAAGAAGCCTATGGAGGAGTGATCCAGCTCTCAGATTTAATCAAAAATATGAAGAGTTTGGTTCCAAAACGCGATAAACGCCATTTAAAAAAAAAATTAGTTACTGCAAAAATCAGTATTGTATCTGGTTGGTATTGAAAAGTCAATGTTTAATTTTAAGTAAAATGCGATATCCGCCGTGTTATTCTGTCATGTTTTCTCCCTTTCTTTCCAAACCACGACAAATGCCAGCCTCCCTTCTCTGCAGAATGCGATATATCCGCTCTGAACCAATCACAACGCAGCATTCCACGCAATGTAAACAGTAACGGCAGCGTCTTAAATACACCCGGCTTCCTAGTTTTTCTTATCTATTTTGTACTTTTCGATCAACAAACAAACAAAAAATGAATAATTTTGACGGCATTGATGAACCTGTGGTTGTTTCTGCGGTGGGTAAGAAACGTAAGGCATCGAAATCGAATCATTTACGTGAGGAGATTAAGAAGATGAGGCACTCGGGAGGAGGACAAATATTTTCAATCTTCTTTACAGTTCTTAATAAAAATATTATACTAATAAACTTACGTTGTTGTGTATTTTCAACAGTTTCAATATGAAAAAAAAAAACTTTTATATTGATTCAATAGATTAATTGCATTTTGATTAAAAAAAAACATGGATTTATTGCATTTTGGGGGAAAAAATAATCCGTTTTTATAATAAATCTTTGAAAATCAAAACCTGGATTTAAATTTTTTTGTTATTATGACCTACAAATGCAATGTGAAAGTTTGAAACAGAAAATAGTGGTTTTCATCTTTCTACTTTCTTGGTAAAGAAAACACATTTTTACTCAAATTAATCTAAATGGATTTATTGCGTTTTGGAACCAAACTCTTCATATCTTAATTTGTGTTCCGAAGATGAACGAAAGTCTTACGGGGTTGGAACAACATGAGGGTGAGTAATTACTGACAGAATTTTCATTTTTGGGTGAACTATCCCTTTAACTCGGCCGGGTTTTATGGAAGATATATTATTTGTGGCATAGGGAGCTAGCTTTAGTGATAGAAACTCAAAAAAAACAAATGTCTTGAAATAAACATATGTACATGTGTCAACTGTGGTTAATTGACTCCACTAATTGAATTATTGGGTAACACTTTATTTTACAGTGTCCTTGTTACATATGTTACATGTACTTACCATAGTAATAACAGTAAAGTAGCCTATGCATAATTACATGCAACTAACCCTCAACCAAATCCTAATCCTACCCTAATCCTATAGTAAGTACATGCTGTTCGTTATTATTAATCAGTACTTAAATGTATAATTACATTGTAACAATAACACCTTAAAATAAAGTTTAACCAATTATTGGTAACACTTTATTTTAAAGTGTCCTTGTCACACGTGGTACATGTGCTTACTAAAGTAACAACAACAGTGAACTATACATAATTACATGCGACTAACCCTATACTAAGATGTTGTTTATTAATATTACTCAGTACTTAAATGTATAATTACACTGATGTAATAAGGACACAAAATTGAAGGTTTACATTAGGAATTAGGGTCATTTTCAATGAATTCTTCAAAACCTCAGTGGGGAAAAAAAAAGTAACTAGCAGAAACAAATATTCAAGCGTTTGTCTTCAAAGAGTTAGACTGTATTAGTTTGATTATGAAGCATGTAATACCTATTATTGGACGTAAAACACAGTCTAAGCTCCACAAAAGTAGACAGCCACCACTATTGGTGTCAAGAGTTTAGTTCATGTTTCTTAATTATTATGACAAGCCACGTGAGCTTCTGCATTGTCCAGTTGTCAACTCCCTGAAGACGAATCATCTCTTTCCCCCAAACGTACAGTAACCGCTCAGACAATACTGGGACTCTGGGAAAAATGCTACCTCTCATCTCCATCTCTTAATCTTTGCTTTAAAAATACTCATCTACTCCCACGAAACCCCCACACCACTCTGTCAGCTGGCATCATTCATCACAATATGGACTCCCCGTTACAAGCTCCTTCCCATGATGCACCCTGTCGCAGGGCTATTATCTCTCCTCCCATTTCAGGAATCAAGAAGGAAGTTGATCCGTTAAAATCATACCTCTGAGATACCCTGCCTTGTGTCTCATGCAAAAAGGAAAGAAAAGTTTTGTCTTTTACAACAAACAAAGTCTAAATCAAAC